ATCAAGCCTGCCCGTACCTGACGGAATAGAGCCCAGACTGTAGCTTAGCCCGAATACAACTGCCATTGGACTATCAGCCTGTCCCACCCGTGACATTGTACTGCGGATTCAGGAAGGTGTACTTGGAGGGCCCGCGGATGAAAGTGACCTGAGCGACGTAGGCGTTGAACCAGATGAGCGACGGGATCCAGGTCGCGTAGCGGACAAGGTAGCGTGAGACCTGGCAGAGCAACCTAGTCCGCCCGCCCGCGTTGGCTGTCCATGTTGCCATTCGGTAAGTTGGGATGTATGTAGGTGGTAATAGGAAGACCCAATTAGTGTAAGTTGGGGGGATAAGATGAAGTTATGCAAGTGGTGAGTTTCGCTCATAGAGCTTGGAAATACGGATACCCGAGTATTTCTGGCGTAACGGGGTCATTGTCGAACAACTACCTGATACATAACAGCCACAAGGCTATCTTAGTGGCATGGCAAACCGCCTTTCCCTACTGTTTTTTAGTTTCCCTTACATTTTCTGGACTAACGTTTTACTTCTTTCTTCGCTTCTTATTTTGCCACCAAATTGAATGTTTTAGTGTCTTCTCAAGCGGGATGGGAGATATAACGAGAAGGCTGCCTCAATTGCTGCATATTATCACCCTGACGGCTTCCAACCCCTCACCACCGAAAACAAGTCCCTGTACAGCGTGATTCATGCCCTTTTATTATCCACTACGGTCCCAAGATCGCTACCTTATACCTGTGTCTCGTCTACCGTGTCTGCCTTTGAGGTTCCTGAGACGCCCTCCCAGTACAAACGGTCCCGATAAACCTACTCGCTGTCCTGTCCATCGCGGGGTATCCGGTAGTCCCATGAAGCGCAAGTCCTGAATCAACATTGCCAGTCCCAAGTACTGCGAGACGGCGTTGCTCTTGGACAGGCCCGGAAATTTACTCGTCGCTCTCGCTCACGGTCTCGTCACTGCTGACCTCAGCGTTCTCGCGCTCGCGCTTCTCTATAAGGGCCTAAAGCTAGGCATCATCTAACGCGGTAACGGCCTTAGACGCCATATTGACCATCAAGTTACCGCCAACCGCCTCGATGCAGGTCCGTACGTCGACGATGGCCTCTTCTAGCCGCGCAATACCCGCGTTTATCACGGGTCGTGGTGCCGTGGTAGGTACTGCCTTGTACTGTGTACTTGTGTGGTTGCACGAGGGTGGAAACTGGGAGGCGCGGCGCCCACAGAGAAGAAGACCCTGCGTGTGTGGGCCGTGCACAGGCCACAGCCGCAGACCCCACTTCTGGGTCTAGTCCTGCAGCCCTAACCCTGACTAACTACAACCCTAACCATCAATATGGAACGGGCTGTGCCCGTGACAGCGTTCTTGTCGAGGTACGTGTTGGTGAGCCTGTGCGATCCGGTTAGTGTCATAGTCATATCACTCCAGAATCATACACAGACTTACACAAAGAGAGGATGAGGCACCAGTCTGACCTTGGCCCGACTCTTGGGGGTGTTGCGCGCCTCGGCAGTACGCAGGGCAGCCTTAATAGCGTCGATGCCCTCGTAGGTGAAGCAGGTGACATCGATGTCGGCTCGGACCTTGGTCGGCTGAGGCGTCAACTTCTTGCCAATGTAGGACTTACGCTCCTCGGCAACAGCCTTGCTTGGGAACGCGATGCCGTCCCAAATATCGGGGTTGCTAAGCATTTATTAGCCGGGTATAACAATTTTCCTCAGGGCACCCGTCTCTCAAAACATACGTTATTGAAAGCCTAAAAACGTTCATGGTATAGCCATATTTCTTGTTTAGCGGCCACGCTATTGTCTCGTAGAGCCTTTCGATTAGGGTCTAGGTCTTCTCGGCGGCGTGCCTCATGATCGAGTGCACAATCTTACTCTTATTGCACCGCTCCTCGCAGCGGACAATATCCTCGGGCGACACACGGCGCTTAGAAAGGTCGATATATCCTACGCCGACGTTAGCACTAGGGTACAGGGCATCCGCGGCGCAGTAAGGGTGGCCAACCCTTCTCCTTATCGATACGCAGCACGACGACAATCTTGTTACGGCCAACCCGGGTCGACTTCTAAATACTTCTAATACAACGCCTGGAAAGTTCGGAAAAGCAGAATCATACCATCGATATTGTCGTACACGAGGAGCTTGACGTAAGCTCCCATATCGGCGATCTAGCGACAGTCAGCGCCGGTGCTACAACAGCGACATCAATGAATGCTCGACAATCCTCTTACCTGATTTACGTTCATCATCACAAAGGAGTCCACCTCCGGGTACTTTCCTCGTAAAACCGGCAGTTTGAGAGCGACATGGTGTCGGTGGGTGCCGTTCCCAGGCGGGGCAAGGTCCAATCGTGGTCAAAGCGGTGTGGACCTAGCTGGATCGTCTCCTTCGTATACATAGTAAGCGTCTGAAGCAGCGTCTCCGTCGTGGAAGCGCTTAGGCAGCCGTTTTAGCTCCCTCCGTTACTCAATGAATTGTTGGAACAACCCTAACCCTGTGGGTCACATGACTCTGTCCAAAAATCTCGATCTTGTCTTCGGAAGGTCACGATTTGGCCTCAGTTGCATCCCATTTTCCGGGTTGTTGTAGTCTGTATCCCATTTTCTGGTGCTCAGAGTTTCCACATTCGGCATGCTTTGCACTAACGACAAAGAGTCATAGGAAAACTCAGGATTCCGTCGACACACAAGTGGGGCTTCTGTGGGTGGGAAACTGGGTGAGAGCGCACGGTCTCTAACTTTCACCCGGCCCGAAACGGAGCCAGGTAATCCGTACGTCCGTATGGCGCCCGCTTTTCTCGGACGCCGTTTACTTGCGCCGGTCTTCTCGGAGGGCCTCTCTCCCGAACGGCCTAAACCCTCCCCTTCTTTGTCCCTCCGACTTCCTCCACTTCTCGCTCCCTTCTTTCCTTCACTTGATCTTCGCTATAGCCTTCTTCTAATCGCCTCCTAATAACCTCCTCTGTCGCCTCGTCGGTTATTTTAAGGTTCACGGCAAGGCTTTGCTTTCTCCTCTTCTGCCTGCAACTGCTGGGCCCCGCCCACCAACTTGTTTCTTATCTGCCGTACCCTCTACCGAGACGCCCAGTTCGTCTTCTTCTCGCGCAACCGCTTCATCATTCACGACTTCCACGCAAGGCAGCCCTGGGACCTGCCGGCCGAGTAACTTGAACCCGCCTGCCTGGAAATTGCCAGCACGAGCACCAGTTACTCGTTCGAACGTCTCGCCATTTCGGAGTTCCTCTGGGAGGTCGTGCCTATCCATTGCCTGACCTACCTCCGTTTCCTCGAGCTGGTGTTCCCCCCTTACGTGCCCCACGGCTGGCCCCATAGGTAGCACCCAGCGACTCTGGATTGGGTCGCCACGGTGAATTGGGTCTGGAGCCAGGTCAACGCACCCGCGCTCACCCTCCGCCTTGTCATGGCAGATTTTGGAGCCGAACCGATTACTGATCGTAAGGTCATGACCAAGGCTCTAGCGGACGACATCATCCGAGGGTACGCGTGTATCATGGACCCCCTGAGGCCCTTGGTAAGGGTGGATGGCGGCGGTCTGGCGGGCTTCTACCTGCAGCTGGCATACCCTGCGAGATGGACCCTGGACGTTCTCCGGCGTGCTTAATTGGACGACGGGTTCCTGGCCCGACTGCACCGAAACCTCATTGTGTGGGCTGAGTGGTATTTGCGGGGCCCCGGCTCGAGTACCCTCGACCATCTCAACCGGGCTGAGCCGAGCAAGAGCTCCTGGCAGCGCTGGTATCAGGTGGATCCTCACGGTGATTAGATGATGGAATCAATACAGTAATAATCCGTATAGGGAGCTATCTTTGCTGTCCTATATCAACAGCCAAGATGAGGCGTAGCCTTGGCCTTCTCGAGCTGCTTGAGGACTTCCAGAACTTGCTTGTTTTTTTAGTATTCCGGTTTGGGATCGTATGCCTCATCCTCTGGGGCGGTGATAGAGTCCACCATTGTGTATGTGGCAGTGTCGCATTATCTGTGAAAAAGGCAAGGAAAAGCACCTAATGCTTTTCTCCAGTTAGTAATCCTCGGGGTTCGTCAGACGGCAAGCAGCAGATGCCAGAGACGCAGAAGACGGAGAAAGCGGGTCGCATGTTATTTGGGACGTATATAGGCAGTTGCATATGCGCTGCCTGGTATACTATCTCCCTTAGCAAGGAAAAATCTTCGTTTTTCCGTGTACCATGAGACTGTCCCAGGCTGCTCGTACCACTACCCTCATAAGATTATCGACAATTAGCATCAGTCTTCCCTGCCGCCTCCCTCCGTTGCCTCTGTTGCCGACACCGACCTCTCGACCGAGCTATCGACTGTCCAGACCTCCGATCGTATGCTAAATACGACAGCCGCAGTTGTCGCAAAGCCCAGTTATGTCTTATATTTGCGCGGCCCAGAAGCGTCCTGCAACAGATCAAGGCACAGGAGAACATCCAGGACGAGCGCCTTGCCTTAATGCCTTTTGACGTCCTGATATCCCAGCAGTGGATCGTGGGGATGGTGTTGCGGCAGGCTCTTCCATCACGGTAGGCGGGGCGCCGCTCCGAACTTCACAATGGCAACGACATCAACAGCAATGACGGCAGCGCCGGCAACGGCCACTCGCCCGGGGCCTAGTTCAGGCCGGCCGCAGCGGGCAAGAACCCTGCCCAGGCGCTTCGATGGCCACGAAGTTGGCTTGCCTGGACACACACCTGGGCAAGTGCTGCCGCCTGACATCAAATCTCCTTGGCCCTGTGGAAGGACCTGTTGGCCCTGAAACATCCGAGTTTGAGCTTGGTGATGAATGCATGCAGTATATCCAATAGAGCCTTAACTTCGCCATTGTCAAGCTGGCAAAGTACATTGATCTGATGGAGGAGAACCCGGTCTACTGGGCGGCCCTTATACTGCATCGCATCCTGCTTACAAGACCAAGTGGCTGACTGAATACCTGGAACCGGACCGGGCAGCGCGTATGCAGGGCGTTTTCCCAAGAAGAGCATAAATCCGTCGACGTCGAGCTGCCCAGTTAACCTGCCCAGTCACCGACTCAGTCGCAAGGCCAGTCCTCGGCTCAGTTAGCTGCCCAGCTGCTTGCCGAACAACGCCAACCTGCCCAAGAAGGCAGTCCGTTGACTGCCTGGACCAACCGCTTGGTGCCGCATTGCCATACTTTCTACGCTCGCAGGCCCGGCCCTGCAACCAGGGGTTGAGCTTCAGGCCTACCTATCTGAAGAACCCGAGGAAATCGACGATGCTGTGGAATAGTGGTTGAGCCCTGGCAGAAGGAGGGACTTTCCACGCCTTTTCGTCATGGCGTTGGACTTGACGATACCGGCGATGTCTTCAGAGTTCGAGCAGGAGCCAAACACACAGTTGGCCATTAACTTCACCGCCTAGATAATGATGCTATCAATATAGTTAGTGGAGTGCTTCGAGCAGTGGAGTCGGGTGCGGTGGGGGGTTCTGCTTTGGCTCAGGGGGCTGGAGAGTAGGGTGCTTACTGTGGTAGGTCTGGATCAATATTTCTCGCTGTATACATAGTTTGAGGGAAAAAGAGAAGCAAGATTCTTTATGGGTCGCTCTTACCTCACTTGCACCCCGATTCTGGCGTTTATAACCTGATTCTGGGCACCTAAACTTCCAGGTTCGGCATGCTTTGCACTAACGACGAAGAGTCATAGGAAATTTCGGCATCCCGTCCGCTCTGCCCAAGACAAGCTAGTAAGGGCCGGATTAGTGGTTGGGTCGTGACGACCAGCGATGACCCGGTGTCGTATGTTGTTGACTCTGTTCCTTTTGCCTGCTCGGGATGGTCCTCAACTCCACACAAATCTGGGGACCACTGCGATGCTTGGCCTGCGTGCGAGATACTTTGACCCGCTTATCTTATCTTAGCTGCGCTATGGCTTCCAATGGTCTTTCAGCGCGCGCCAGCTTTCCTGGATTCAACCTCTCAACAATCCGCGCGACGACGGCGGTTCGCGACGCCGCTTATTTGTGGTTCATCGCGCTGCAGCGGGTCAAGTTTCGATCTTCCATCGCAATGGGCGTCCGATAGTAAAAACAACCAATCTGTCGCCCAAACTACCACAATTCTGAATGGGTGCGCGTGCGTCGCGGTTTTCACCAACGGACAATGGAGGCATTGCTCGGCGCCGGTCAGTCGAACCCGTCCTGCGGGTCGATTGGCGACCTTCAGGTTCAGCTTCGAGACCTCCTCAGCAGCCGTGTCACTGAGACGAGGGCCGACCATATATCGGTGACAACTGAAATTCGCGCAACCGCCGTCTTCGACATCCCAGTCACCGACACAGAAAACGAGGCGTTTGAGAACTGGTCGAGCATTGATCCGCTTCTGGGCGGAGCAAGGTCTAGCGTCGCGCCGCCTGCGGTCAACGGAAATGGAGGGCCGCCATCGCGACGAGTCAATGCTATTGACACATTGATCAACCAACCATTAGATGACCCTGTCCTACAGACGTCGGTCACCGGGCACATCATAGCCTCACTGGGCAAAGTAGACGGAAGTATTTGGACGGTGCGCCAGATCTCCCGCAATGAGCAGGGCTGGACCTTCACCTACATCTGCAAAGACTCGTGGCAGGCATGGAGTCGTCAAGTCTCCAAGAACCCCGCGAAGACAGCCATTGGAGAATGGAGCGACAAGAGTGGGCAGGATCCGATTCACATGGGCAGGTTTTTCTCTGCCAGTACGGACTCTCTACCATTGCTAACGATTGCCGTTAAGCTCGCCCGGCCTTTGATTGCCGAGGGTTTGTGAAGGTCGCCTTCGTAAAATCGACCAAGACCATTGACGTGAGATACGAACACACGCCTATGCACAAGACGGTCGCCCAACTGATCGAACTTCTTGCGCCGCCCCCAGTCGCGCCGATGGTGAAAACTTCAATGAAGAAGCCAAGGGAGCCGAGACCGCCAAAGGAGCCAAAGGCGCCCAAGGAGCTGAAGCCGAAGACACCGAAATCTTTAAAGAATCGAGCAGGAGAGAACATGGTGGTGGACGGCGACAACTCGCAGCCGAAGAAGAAGCGCAAGAAGAAGGATTCTTTGGCCCTAGCTGTCATGGCCGGCACTGTGCTGCCTCCAGAGATGCCAGGCGCATTGCCCGTAGGCGATGCTTCGGCCCGGCAGCTGTACAATACCCAAACTGGGGCTGCTGGAGGTGCCCAACCGGGTGGTTCGAGCGGCTACCCTGACGGCTTGGTAAACGCTACCGGTGATGAGGTGGCGCCATCCACCAACAGCGATGCGCATCCTCACTCAATCCTGAATCTGCCTGCGGGAGAGGCCGCGAGACGGCGGGACTTCGCAATCAAGCTTCTCACAGACAGTAACATCGATCCGAAGACGCTGTCCCCCGAGCAGTTCAACATCTTTGCCAACCAGTCGCTCGAATTACAGCAAGACTCTCTGGCTATGCTGATCAAATACGGTGCGGAGAGGCTGCGGATCGTGCATCCGAGTAAAGAGGGATCGAACTCCGGCCAGTCAACTCCCACCAAGAACACTGCTCCAGGGCCTCCAGGAGGCACACCACAGTCGGCGAAGCCCAAGAAGCCGAGGAAGCAAAAGGCCGAGGTCAAAGGCGCAGGAATCGGTGAGGCACCAAGTCCCGAGGCAGAAGAAGTGAAGCAAAGGCGGCGCATATGTGAAAACTGCCTTATCAAGAAGTACAAGGGCAAGGTTCGCGAATCATTTGCTTTTTTTCTTTTTTTCCCCAGGTGACGTGGAACTGACAACATGTGTAGTGTGACAAGGCGAGGCCGTCTTGCTCTGTCTGTCTCGAAGAAGGCGTTGCTTGTGTCTACGCACCGTCGAGGCCCCGACAGAGCAAAGTTGCAGAGGCAGAGGCAGTGCCGGTATCAACCGCCCCGGAACAGGCCAATGCACAGATGCCGAACGAAGAGCCAGATGATCTGGGATCACCAGGATTTCACACAGAGACTGCCGAACAGCCGATTCTGGAGCCGGTTCAGATCCAGGAGCAGTTCCATGCACATGAGCATCAGACGGCAAACGCGCCAGTTTCGGAAACCACGGCCCTCGAGGCCGAAACACCTTCGGCCGTGTTCAATCAGACTCACGGCATCTATCAGCATCCATTCGGACTAAGCTTCCCCCAGGTCAGCACGACCAGCGCAGCGGGTTTCGTCCAACTCAACATCACATCAACCTCCATGGAAGCTCTCTCTATAGATTGCACCCCTAGCTCTGTCTCCCAGGCCGCTGAGACCTTGGTGCACGGCTACAGTTACCTCGTTCCTCCCACGAGCACTGAACAGTCGAGCATTGCCGCCGAATCCGGCCAGCGTGGGAGCTCGGGAGGCCAGCCGTCAACGTCCAGACGCAGCCTCCCGGCCGGCCAATCTTCTCACGCAACCGGAGTGAGCGATACTACCATGGGCGCCCAAAATAGTTGGCAGACCATGTCCGCGAACCCAACTCAAGCTACCTCCGCGACGAGAATCTCGCCGGGGCAGTCCAGGGCAAAGAAACCCGTCCCTGTCTCGCAGGCGTACGATGATGTGCGGCAACAGCAAGCTTCAAGTTGCACGAGTGCAAGCCAGTCTGTTTCTCAGGCATCCCAGCCTCCCCGCGGCTCGCCATCGCAAACTGCTGCTCAGCCTGCTCGCGCCACATCGCGGCAAGGCAACCGGGGCCAAAGTCATCCCCCCGTGAATAGCGTGTCGGCAGCGCCACAAGTTCAGTCTGAAGGGACGCAGCCGATCGCCGATAATAACACCGAATATACGCCTAATGCTGCGGCCCAGGAGTCGGGCTCGGCGCAGAGCTACAGTCAATATAGCCAGTATCAGGGTGGAAACACTCAGGCCGACTCGTCCAGCGACCGCCTCGCGTACCAACCATACTCCAGTAATCAAATCGCAACCCAAACCCAACCAACCTCTTACTCCTCGTTTGACAATTACAACACTCGCCTGCCGAATACTGCAACACCGTCCCTCGCGACACCGGGGACCCAGAATATCGCCTCATCTTACCCGGCAAATTCGGGGGCGGCGTCGGACAGGGCCCAGTGGGGAAGCTCGACCGCAACGGCTCAAGCCCGAAACACCCAGGCTTACAACGCCATGCAGCCGGCGTCGGGCACCGGTTATAACACATCCTCCAACGCTCCGCAATCACAGTCGCTGCAGGGGCTTAGCGTGACGCCTCAGCCGCCGACGGCAAGGAGCTCGCCGACTGCGTTCAGCCAACAACTGCAGCAGCAACAGCATCAACAGCACCAACAGCACCAACAGGAACACAAGCAGCAGCACCAGCAGCAGGGGCAAAACCACCAGCAGCCGAGCTACAATGGATACATGAGCCAACCGGCACAGCAAGACAACAGCAGCACGCAGCAAACCTGGGGTTACGGCTTTGGGACAGGGAGCAACCCCTCCTCGGGCTACGGCTCGACGGCAGGTACCAGCGCTAGCAACGCCTACCCGTCGTCTGCCACGGCGTCACATGGTCATGGGCATCAAGCCCACCAGACGCAGGCTCACAGGCCCATGAATCTGTCCAGCCACACGTACAGCAGCATGGACCATGACCAGGCGCTGTATGACCTGCTTCGGAACAGCCAGACTGGGTAGACGCAGGGATTCATTTTCGGGGCTGCGCTGTATCTTTCGAGACATGAAGCCGGATGGGGTTGTTTTCGGGGTGGGCCCCACATGCGACCTCGTCCACGATGCTAGGGGAAAAGGCTTGATGAATGGATTAGTGGCGTGGCCATGGTGTAGATATCTATCTTTGCTGCGTGAGCGGTTATTTCATTCCCCAGGAATTCTTAGGAGGGGACGGAGGGCCGCGGAGCGGCTTAAACCGATTGCTATTGCAACAATGGAATTATTTATCTCGCTGGGTCCCCTCGTGCTGCGGTCCTGTCTTCTACTTTCCTGCCTGTGGAACCCACGTCTCGAGGGCCATGATGTACAGGGTCTTCCTTCGGCACTTGGCATTCAATTCCCAGCTTCTTCCAGAAACTACCCAAACTAAACACAGATAAACAGCTGGATTGGAGCAACCTTTCCCTCTACCCAGATAAACACCCACCTTCAACCTCTTAACAGTCTGATCGGCTCTATTAATCCGACTGATCACGGACAAACTCACCATAACGGCAGAACGAACAGGGAAGGTAAGAAAGTAGGCAACAAGATCAAACGCAGATGTCTCTATTGTGACCTCAGGAACGAAGGAAGGAAGAAAATGGAAATGCAACCTCAGAAAGCCGGCCATTAACCATTCATCCCCAGGTGTCTCGAAAGGCAGCTTCCAGACGCACGCCAGCATTCGGTTGATGTGCTAGTTATCTAGAGAGCAAATCCATCCGTCCCATCTAAAAGATAACTCTCACAAAGGAGAACCAGCCAAAACGCCACCCATATCTCTCTCAGGCCAGTAGGTACTTTACAGCTCATTCGGATGTTGATCCCTAAATCCATGACACTGCAAGGAACGGAGCGGGTGGTGATGTTCACCCCTTTCTCTCGGCCCCCTCCAACTTTTTGCTTGATCGCCGTTCCCGTGAAAACAGCCCAGATGACTCCGAACCTTCATTGCGCCGTAGCAGTTTCCGCCTTGGTATCAACCTTTTTCGCGGCGGGCGCCTCGCCGCCGTCGTCCTCGCGAGCCCGCTTGCCGTGGGGGGCGGTAGATTGGATGGTCGGCATCTGGACGCTGTGGTGGGGAGACCTGTCAGTGTTCCAGTCATACTTTGGTGAGCAGGATCGGGGTGGAACATACTCATTGGTGCTCTGCTTGGCCTCCACACTCTTCTTCTCGTCGCGGCCCTTGTTGTCGCGCCCCCCGCCGCGGCCGCCGCGGAAACCCCGACCACCCCTGCCCCGTCCACGGCTCCGTCCGCCCTTGTGACCGTTCTTCTGGTCCTTGTCCTTCCAATCGCCGCCGAACTTGCCACCCCGACCCCGGCCGCGTGCGCCGCCGCGGGCTCCACCGCGCTCCTTGCCCTCGAAGAAAGTGACGCGCCGGTGCTGGTTCGGTTCCTTCTCGCCTTCCCTGATTTGCCTAGTCTTCTCTTCCAAGTAATCCTTCTTCTTCATGATCAGGAGCTCGTGGCCCTTCCAGGTGGGCTTAGGGTCCAGCTTGACAAAGGCATCGGCCTCCTCGACGGAGCTGAACTCGACAAAGACAGAGCCCTTGAAGAGCTCCTCGTGGGTGCGGCGCAACTTGACGTGGTTGACGTGGCCGTGCTTGGAGAAGAAGGCCTCGACATCGAACTGGGTCGAGGGCTCCTCGTCGCCAAAGCCCTTGGCGTAGATGGACCGCTCCAGGCGGGCCTTTTGCGCCTCGGGCACCGACACGTACCCCACCTTGCGCTTGACCGTCTCCTCACCCTCGTCGCCCAACACGTCGAGGAACTCGCTCTCGCGCAGAGCAGCCACGACGGCGCTGTAGGGCTGGAACTGGCGCATGCGTTTGAAGTTGCAGATTGTCTTGAGCGGCATCGGCTTGTTCTCTTCGCCTCCCGTTTGTTCCCACATGAACTTATCGATCGGCAGGTTGCTGTCGCCGAAATAGAACTCAACCTTTGGAAGGGTGGGGTTAGTCGAAATTCAACGGGCGAAAGCAGTCGTCTTAGGACGGGGGGCAGCAACATACCTGCGCGCGAATCTTGCTGGGGTCATCGGTCACGGGCTGAGTAGTCGGGTCATACTTGCGATTTTTTTTGTAGTCCTTGTGGTTTGCCTGGGCGGTCGTCTTGAGAATTGAGTCCGACTTCTTGTCCTCCCCGTTCTCGGTGTCGGCAACACCTTCCGTCTTTTTATCGCTCTCATCGGCGGCCGCAACAGCAGGAGTAGTTTCCTCGACAGGCTGCGGCTCGGCGGCCGCGGTGGTCACCTCGCGCTGGTCCTTCATGACGGCGTCGCTCATGTCGTCGACAAGTGACGATGCGCCGGAGTAGAATGGAGGAATCAAGCAATTGACAGACGGAACAGAGTTCAGCCAGATGGCGAAATGACGGTGTATCAGAGGCAGAAGTCAATCGGTTTGGGCATGAGCAAAAAGTTTGTGACAGCCGAGTGGAAGAAAGTCGGTTGCTCAGAGCCTTTGCAGAAGAGAAGAGCTGCACAAAATTGTTGGTGGGGTAACCTAGAGGAACGCCGCAGCAGAGTCACCAGGATGCGCCAGCTTCTAAACCGAAACGAGTCACTGAATCATGAGTAATCCGAAATAAGGACGACGTTATGGTCAACAGAAGGTTTGTGTCTCTGTGATCATGAACATGCGTTAAAGCTCTGGTATATCGTTGTTTGAATCTTGTGACTCGGTTACTTTCAAGGCGCGCCTCCTTGGATCAATCCACCGAGAAACGCGCTGCAATAAAAAAGGTCCATGGCGGTCAGTCGCTCAATTGGCAAATTCGGTGTGCCATCTCTCACCGCCCATGCTCCACGGCGGTAACAGCCGCAATTCGTAAGTCGTACCCGTAACCTGGATGTAAGTAACTTTGGCTCATTACCTTGGTACCCTGGCATGAATCGCCTCACGTGAGACAGCCCGTCCAGGGTCGAATGTGGGAAACTTTTTCGGGCGATTGATAGCAAGCTCGATAGGACGCCGCGACCCTCGATCTCCCCTTTGAGCTCACCTCCAAGGTGCCTGGATCCTTGGTGTGTACTCCGGACTGTCGACCTAGCGCTTGTCATTCAGAGCAGGGCAGGGCCATTGCGACCTTTAAAAAAAGCTAGGTGCATCAATTGGGCGACAACCGCATTGATCCTTCAGCGGCAGACGCCCGACTGTAACTCCCTCGCAGAGACCGCAGACACACTAGACAGATTGACACGATGAGGCAACGCAGGTTGCTGAGGTTCCATGGCCTGAAACGTCCCGTGAGTCGACAGTCCCTTTGTCGCTCTCCTCTCCAGTCCTCATGACTTCGACTAACCCGACTACCCTTACAGCGCGTCCGCCAAACATGGAACAAGTACAACCTGTTCAACCTCATCCAACTGCGGACACCTCAACTGAGCTTCAAGACCTTCTTCCAGCAGAAATGGAGAGCCAAGTCCATGACCCGCGGCTACCACGGCGAGCACATTAAGGAATATCAGTGGGAGCGCATGTTCAGCCGCCGCCCGCTCTCCGCCGTCGACATGGACCCGGCTTACATGGCTCGCTACGATGGCAGCGAGCAGGCCGCCGGCCGTGGTTCCGGTCTGTTGCCACCTCCCCGTACGAGGGGTACAAAGGGGGAAGAGGAGGCCAGTCGAACCAAGGCGACTCCGTACATGCAGATGGTCTTCGCCCCCATGGAACGTCGACTTGATATCGCCATTTTCAGGGCCCTGTTTGCTAGCAGCGCGAGGCAGGCCCGCCAATTCGTCTTGCACGGTGCTGTGACCGTGAATGGGAAAAAGGTACTAGTGCCCAGCGGACACGTATGCCGGAACAGACTTGCTGACGTACGCTGGGGAAAAAATTAGATGAGACATCCCGGTTACCTCCTTAACCCTGGGGACTTGTTCCAAGTCGATATCGAGCGCGTCATGACAGCGACCGGTAAGCCGAAGAGATCACTCCCAGGTCAAAAGACAGTTTCAACCACCGCGACCGAAGAGTCTGCCGAGGCCGAAGAAGGCGATGTCAAAGAGGCCACAGCCACCATTGAAGACCCCGGAGAAGCCATCGATGCAGATGCCACGAAGGAGAAGCACCTAGCCACGCTCAACGCGCTCAAAAGCCGCGCCCAAAAGATCATGGGCGACAAAGAGCACATCCGCGCCAAGCAGAAGATGTCCCTCCGCAAGTTCCTCCGAGACGTTAAGACGGCCATGGACACCGCCCGGAAGTCAAAGGGTGAAGCCACCTCGACCGCCGAAATGAACGAAGTCGAGCAGGAGCTGAGCGACCTGCTCTCGGAGCTCTCCATCACCCCGACCGAGCGCAAAGCCGAAGCCAAGCAGGCGGCCATTGAGCAAAAAGAACAAGAAAAATTAGGAGGCGGCCTCCTCACGGCAGAGGAGCGCGAGGCGCTGCAGAGGTTGGCGCGCGAGGAGTCGCTCAACCCGCACGACCCGTCTAAGCCCTACGCCACGCCCTGGCAGCCGCGCGACTGGATGTCCCCGTTCGCCTTCATCCCGCGCTACCTCGAAGTCAACCAGAGGATTTGCGCCGCCGTCTATCTCCGCCACCCCGTCGCCCGCCCCGGCCTCTGCGAGGTGCCCACCCCGTTCTCGCCCGTCCTCTCCCAACTGGCGTTCAACTGGTATCTGAGGAGGAGGTAGACCAATGCAGAAAGGGGATATGATAGACAAGACGAGTCGGTGGTTGTTTGAATAGGTGTTGCCGTGACATAACATCTGCCTGTTTAGACGTGGCGTGGAAGTGCGCGTTGGGCGGGTTGCTAGCGGGCACGTTGTTGCCTAGGTGTCATGGAAGTCAATAGAGGCAGATGAGTGTTGTATATCATGATGCATGTATTCTAGGTGTCAACTTGCACTTGTACAATATGAAAACATTTCATGCTGGCTTAACAAGGACCAAGGGCCATCCTGGTTCCTCCCCCAAGTTACATCGGACTCTCGAAGCTGGAGGTAGTTGGGAAGGACTAACTTGCGGTGAGACTGACTCGACCCGAGCAATTGAAGCTGGTGCAGTCGGCTCTGCAGGAAAAGGGTTGGCGATAAAACAGTCTGAAGTCGGGTCGTTGTATCGTCAAGTAGAACGGAACACGCTGACGAACACTACCCACAAAAGAGCAGCGAAACCACAGAGACCTTTTATTCCAGACAGACAACTAAGCTACACAACAACAGCATGAAATAGGATGAGGGGTAAGTAAACTAAGCAGGCGGGAAAAGAAGGCTAGGAAAACAAGATATGGTTTGTGTTGTGGCGACAGCCGCGTGTTTGTTGAGAAACCGGATTTCGGCAGAGCAAAGGAAGGGTTAGAAGCGAGGACTGAGTGAGCCGGGGTTTAACACAACAGAAACCCAGATATGCAACCCTCACTCATCCAAGCAATCCATCCACAAGTAGTACTACCCCTCCACGACTGCCTGCCTTTGTTACATGCCTCTCCCCGCCTCCGGTACCCGTAATATTGATGCAGCCTGATATTCTCCGGCTGCTTGGGTTGCGATCGAAGGGCGACGACGTCACCTAGTAAAGCTGATCCGTGGTCGTAAGTAGTAGATTTGGACGGCCGGGGATGTCGTAAACTCGGGCCGTCTCTGTCTTGCTTCGACATCTCCAGCCGGAAACCCTGACCCTCGGGTTCGGTTCGGTTGCCCTCCCAGAGATATATCCCCTTTTCTCCTCCCGCCCAAAACCGAAACGCTGAAATCCTTCTCAAGAGCAGGGCCGGGTATCGAGACATGTCCCCTTTTCCCGACCAGGCCAAGTAGATCATGGTACAGAATTTGAATAAGCGCTGACCGGACCATCCACTCCAACCGATAAGAAGCCACAGTCTCCCCAGGTGAAGTCTAGACCACTTTGCTGACACCGGAAGCACTTCCCCCAACACCCGGAGTACGCCGTTGCGAGAGTTGTCAGCCATGCCTTCCGGATGACCGTTCCCGTGAGTATTAAGGGGATGTGATTAAAACAGGGAAGTAGTATGAAAAGTAAACAAACGAGCAAAGAAAGAAATAAACGCGGCGAGCTGGTATTGTTGGGGCATCATGATACTGAGACGAGTCGTGGGAAAAGGAAAGAGAAGTTGGGAAATGTCGACGGAATTATCGGAGAGAAAATCCCTTCCTCTTGGGCTCCTTCTCCAGAGGCCGTCCACTCTCAATCCTTGACTTCTTCTCCTCGAGCTCGAGCCGTTGCCGCTCCAGCTGTTCCTTCATCTCCCGGTGACGCGCGTACAGTTCCTCCTCGCTCTGCTTCAGCTTGGATTCCTTCTCAGCCACCTTCTGCTGGAAGACCATCTTCATCTCGGCCTCCATCTTGGCGAGCTTCTGCTCGTGGAGGGCACGCTCCTCTTCCTGCTTGACGGCAGGGTTGACCTCCTTGAAGACGCTGGGATCTTGCGACACGCCCATAGCGATCAGCTTGTCGGTCCGGTAGTTCTCATAGAGAGTGTTGTTGGTATGCTCCTTGAGCTCCTCCATGTGGGTGCGGATGAGCATCTGGCGAAGCTTGACAAAGTCGCAGTGCTCCTCGTTGTCCACCTCAATGACGCCCCAAGGGTAGCTACGGCCGCGCACCTTGCGTCCGTCGGCGTTGGTCACCTCGGTATTAGAACCAACAACGGCGAATGGAACTTTAGACATGATCTCGTTGTTTTCGGCAATGGTCTCCTCATCGTCGAGCTCGTATCGGGGACCCTCGAAAATCTGGACCTTGTGGTACTTGATATCCGCGAGAATCTACTCGAGGTCATCAGTCTCAGTTGCAGCGAGTTAAACAGGGATAGAAATGAAGCTTACTCTGGCCTTGAAGGCGGCAACCTCCTCGTCGGTAAGGGTATCGGATTTCGCAATGACCGGGATGAGGTTGACCTTGGTATGCAGGCGCTTCATGACCTCGATATCCAGAGGCTTCAGGGAGTGGCCGGTCGGCTGGATGAAGAAAACGCAGGCGTGGATGCGGTTGTCAACAATGTTCATGCGGTTGACCTTGTTCTCGGCATCCAGGTAAGCATCGAAGCGCTGCTCGATGTTGTCGACGATCGGCCTCCAAGACTCGTCATTGTTGACGAAATCGCCAAAGCCAGGTGTGTCAACCACTGTCAGCCGCAGACGCACCCCCGCCTCCTCAATATCAGCACTGATAGACTGGATAGAAACCGTCTTCGGGATGATGTCGAGGCTTGGGCCCTTGCGCTCCTTCGGGGGGTACAGCGACGTGTTGAAAAGTGTGTTGACAAGAGTCGACTTTCCGAGGCCAGATTCACCTGTGGGGGATTGATTATCAGCGCCAGGAGCCCATGATGATGATGCCTGCACACAAAGCAGTTGTACTCACCAACAACCATGACGTTGAAGTTGAAGCCCTTCCGGACGCTCTTGCGGTGCCACTGGTTGGGCAGGTTGGCAAAGCCAACGTAGCCCGTCAGCTTTCTGCGAACAATGTTCCTGTTGTCGCTTATAGCGGCGGGAGCTGCGATCACAGAGTCAGATAGAGTTTGCCGAGAAACTTCCGATCCAGACGTCGAAGGCTGGATATTTGGCGATCGGACCGCCAAGGTGGGGGATGGGAGATTGGTGGGAATACCGGTTGCAGCTACACGGACAAAAAAAATTAGTATCCTCCATATTCAACGGTGTCCGACTAGTAATGCTAAGAGCTCCTGTGCTGGGAACACGCGGATTCTGACGGTCAATGGGCATGCTCAAGGGTGCCTTCGTATCCGCTGCAGGCTCGGGGCTGCTAGGGTATAGCTCGCCGAAGGAGAGCGGCTGGGCCAGAGGGATCCTCGGGGCGTGGCCAACATCTAGCATGCTCCGGAGAACGATTGGCACATCTGGGTGTTGCTTGCTGGTCGTCAACGGAAGGCTGCTGGTCCGGGCCCCGGGGGTGAGACGTGCGGGCGCGTCGCGAGGCGCTGATGTGTATTGCGAAGCGGCGCGGTGGACCCTAGCGTCTGGAGACACCGGGCTGTTTTCAAACTGCATGCTCCTCGGCCGGACCTTTGCGGTTGCGTGATGAACCATCGTAGCAAAATGCATGCTGGCGAAGGTTGTGCGAGTCGTGCTTTGATGGGTAGGATGGACTTCGTCCAAGCTCAACGGCGATGTCCAAGAAATGGTAGATAATAAAGAACGGAGGCGTCAAGTCGTTGGAGCTACAAACAGCGATGCCGGAATGTCCAAGAGCCTGCTTGGGCAGAGCTGACAAGCACACCTGAATCTCGCGGTTCAAACGAAGGACAGATGCGAGGCGCTAAGCGTCCAAAAGCAGTGCTTCTTGCAGTTTGTTCCCAGCACAGTCGACTTGGTTAGGAAGAGAAAGCCCGGTGCTTACCCATTATGAAAAGGTTCCGTAGCGAGCGAACAACGGGTGAATCGAGACTTGGAGTGAGGGGAAGGTGCAGAGTCTGAAAGGAGAGAAAGAACGTTAGACAAGGTCGGTCAAGGTTGCATGTGCACCCGGCGAGATGGAGTCACAGAGGACAGGCCCACGAAGCTGGGCTTGCTGGGTTAGGAGCAATGGGCCTTCGGGCACAAGTCGCGACAAAGGCCGGCTGCCGGCTGCCATACAAAAAGTAGGAATGGGCTCTTGGACAGGTGGGAAGAACCTGACAAAAGTTTGCTGACGGCTGATGTTGATGGCTTTAGCGAATCACTGCAACTTCACGTACCAGGTCAGAAATCGGTCGCCTCGACAGAGTCGCGAATCGGGACGGTACGAAGTGCAGACGGCGGACGGATAATAACTGCGCGTGACTCTGAAAGTTTAAGGCTAGTCGGCGTACAAATACGATGGTGAAAGAGTGTTGAGAAGTACGAAATGCGGAAGAGAGGATGCGAGGTTGGAACCTGTTGGAAAGGTGTCGCGGTCCTGGAGGGAAAAATTTAGGGTGCGGCAACAGGAGATTAAACTACATCTCTGGCTGCTTGGAGCAAAAGGGGTTGCAGCGCTGGGCCACAGCTTGCAGGAGCTGACCGCACGGACCAGCGAACATAGATGAGCGACAGAGGTCAGGGGGACTTCTGGCCTGTGATTCGCTGGGCCGGTGCCAATTGCGTTCCCAGACCAAAAAGAAATGGGGCCCTAAGTTGATACCTGAGCTGACAGTCAAGACTACAATGCCCTCATCTTGACTAATATAGGAGATGCTAATTGCCGCCGGATTTGACGGACCAATTGCGTTCACCGCATGATTCTGAACATCACGAGAGCGGCGAGAGGAGCAGAGCAGCGATGCGGGGTCGGATACGAGCAATTACCCATGTATGTTTACGTGCCAGCTACTTTCCCTACCCATCTGTCATTCACAATGTTGCGGTCACTCGCAAGGTATCATCACTTGCCCGGGCCATGGCGCCCATCAACCCAAGAGTTCCTCACCCCATCGTTAAGGCTGAGAAAGGATCAAAGTCAGAATAGGCTGCTGCCCAAGGTCGCAACCGGGATGGTTTGTTTCAACGTCGTGTGTCTTCGACAAGGGCTCCATTGGACCATAGGTTTCAACTCGGCTGCTTTAACCGAAGGACGCGAAATTGTCAGTCTACGGCATGAAGCAGCCGATCGAGGTAGCAGGACACCCAGTTGTAACCAAGAGGTACCAAACCCAAACCCAAGCAGACACAGTTCGCTTGTTCCTTTTTACATTCTCCTCCCCAGCGAGGCAAGAACAGCTGGTCCAACTCCCTCAGCATCGTGCATTGGCCTCTCATTACGACCAATACAGTCCGGCCTGGTTCGTTCGTTAAGGCAATGTGGCACAAGACATGCACCTGGACAGACATGGAATAGAAAACTGGAAATCAAGGAAAGGAGAGAATAAGGAAGATAAATAGATGAGCATAGAAAATAAATATAAAAAAGTAAGAGTACGGCGTAGATAGACGAGTATGACAGAAGCAAAGAGAAAAAGGAAGTAAGAATTCCAGAAGGTCAAAGTGAAAGCAGATGAAGTGTAGATACCCAGGTTCCACGCTAACCAACCAGGGTTGAACTGTGTATACCAATGGCGCAACTGCCGAAGCGGCTGCGCACCGACCTGCTGATTACCACTTGATATACTTCGTACTTCTGAGTTCATGTCGCGAACTGGGCATCTGAGCGACGCAGCATTGCCGGTGATGAACCTACACTTCATTGTCACGTTGGCCGCCCAGTTTGGGATTGTCCTCCACTTCGAAGAAAGATGGGGCTTGCAGTCGAACGAAGCCCCACGGTGCCCCTGTCTATCCTCCCTTGATTGAGACTGACCCCACTCTTTAAGACCCACTAATCCACAAGCAATCGGGTCCTGCCATTCCACAGCCGCCCAATGTACGGATAAGTCATGTCGATGATGTAACGAACAAGGTGCGAAAGCTGGAAAGCTTTCACCAAGTTCGAGTTCGGCTCAGCAGCTTCTAACGAACCACCGCGCACGCTGGGGATCTCGCGCTCTGGAGAAAAGAAGAAATCGCAGGCTTGATTTTTTTTTGGACCGTCAAACATGTTGGCATTGGGCGGCACAATGCAAGGGCACCGATAACCACAGACAATCGTGTGTGCTCGCTTTCACACGACCACAATGCAGCTTCGCGCCGGAAACTTGCTGCGCTTCAACCGCTTGGGCCCCTCAGCCTGTTTTCTAAGACATGCTGCATTTGCTACGCAAAGGAAGCGGCCGCAAATCCTGGACAATAATAGCTTGGGACAACTCTCTTTCGGCCGGCAACCCTCTCGTCACCTGTTCTTATTGCCCCGACAACGCCGGTCGAAAGTGCGCGCTTCCAAGCTCGTATCGGTGACACTCGCCAGCGCTCTGCTTGCATTGTGGCTATACCCGACTGATGCCTTGCAGCACACTGACTCCAGGGCGAGATTGGGCTCTGAGAACCCGGGAGATGGCGCTGATGAGCATGACCGTGAAGCCGACCAGGCCGACTTGGCCAAGTTCACACAGAACGTCAGCGCTCTCTCTTTTGTACCCTCGACAGATGGGCTGTCCGAGAAGGTCGTCGACCTGATCATGCCGGAGTGGATAAAATCTGTCCCCGGCTACATCAGGAAACTACAGCGCGAGATGAACATGGAGCCCGGGTCGCTGGCGGCAGAGATATGGCGGGAAGCTCACGACCCCTTTACACACCCCGAGATTCAATATGCGGCGAAGGTCCGCGTGTCGAACGAGCTGTGCGACGAGGAAAAGACCTTCTTGGAGCGGAGGCGGATGATGATTGTGCCTGCGTTGGCACGGTTTTTGAGGATTGACGAGGAGGATATCCATCCGGACGATGTCCCGACTATTGCCATGTGCGGCTCCGGAGGTGGTCTGAGAGCCCTGGTCGCAGGAACGGGCTCTTTCCTGGCGACCACGGAGGATGGACTTTTTGACTGCGCGACATACGTCTCAGGCGTGAGCGGCTCCTGCTGGCTGCAGTCCCTCTACTACTCCTCGGTCACAGGAACCAGTTTTGAAAAGGCCATTGATCATCTCAAAGAGCGTCTCGGCACCCACATTGCCTACCCACCGGTGGCCTTCAACGCGTTGACATCGTCACCGACGAACAAGTACTTGTTGAGTGGGCTGGTAGAGAAGCTCAAAGGTGACTCCGGTGCGCAGCTTGGCCTCGTCGACATCTACGGCATGCTCTTAGCCGCAAGGCTGTTGGTCCCTAAGGGGGAATTAGGAGTGGACGAGAAAGACTTCAAGCTGTCGAATCAGCGGGAGTTTGTGCGCTATGGTCAAAATCCGCTCCCCATCTATACTGCTGTGCGGCATGAGATACCGGAGCTGGATTCTCCCGACTATGGCGGGCCAGGGTCGATCTCAGAGGAGGCCAAAGACAGAGCCAAGAGAGAGGCCTGGTTCCAGTGGTTTGAGATTACCCCATACGAGTTCTTTTGCGAAGAGTTCTCTGCTGGTATTCCCACATGGGCCATGGGGCGCAGGTTCAAGAATGGGTCAGACGTGCCTTCAACGACAGGGTTCCGTCTGCCGGAGATCCGCATGCCCTTACTCCTGGGGATTTGGGGGAGCGCATTCTGTGCCACTCTGAGTCACTACTACCGAGAGATCAGGCCAGTCATCAAAAGTCTTCACCAATCGCTAGATGAGCTTATTTGGGGCCACAACAAGGATCTCAGCAAGGTTCATCCCATAGAGCCAGCCAACATCCCGAATTTTGTGCACGGAATGTACGGCCAACTGCCCGAAACCGTTCCCCAAGCTGTTTACGACAACGAATACATCCAGCTTATGGACGCGGGAATGTCAAACAATCTTCCCATCTACCCGCTGCTCCGGCCGGGCCGAGATGTCGACATCATTATGGCGTTTGACGCTTCCGCCGACATCAAGACCGATAATTGGCTCTCCGTGGCCGAAGGTTACGCTCGGCAGCGAAAAATCAAGGGATGGCCGGTGGGAATCGGTTGGCCCAAACCCGCCGGAACCCCGTCCCAGGCCGCCGTCGAACTCGAGCAAGCTGAGGTTCACTCAGCCGTCGAGGCCGAAGGCAGAATCAACAAAGCCAAAACGGACCAAGCTGCCCGCCACGCCGAACCCAGCCCGGCCCAGACAGCCAAAAAGCCGGGAGACCAACCCATCAAACCCGAAAGCCAGCGCCAGACCGAAGCAGCCGCCGAACTGGGCTACTGCACCGTCTGGGTCGGCACAACGCAGGAACGCTCGTCCGACCCGCCACCGCCGCCCGTCGACGACACCTCCACCTGGCGGCTGATGGATCCAGACGCGGGCATCACCGTTATCTACTTGCCCTTTCTCGCCAACGAGAAAGCCGTGCCCGGCGTCGACGTGGCCGTCAGCGATTACATGAGCACGTGGAATTTTGTGTACACGCCGCAGCAAATTGACGAGGTCGTTGCGCTGGCCAGGGCGAACTACGCCGAGGGGAGGGAGCGGATACGCGCTACGGTGCGGGCGGTGTATGAGCGGAAGAAGAAGAGGCGGTTAAAGCGGGAGCGGAGAGAGGAGGAGGACGGGTTCAGGAGGGCTATGAGGAGGAGGGTGATAGGGAGCCTGGGAGAGGGCGATCATTTCAGTTGAAGTAGGGCCCGTGTTGGAGGCGATTGGTGATGGTTTCTGGTACCCTTTGTTTGGGAGGACAGGGCGAGGCGTGTACAAGTGATGGATCACCAATGCTTTTTGTTTTCGCTTGGTTCGTCCTCAACACCACTCCCCATGGCAGCTGCTTCTGCTACGGCCGAGACGGTTTGAATGGTGAGGAACTTTGTCGGCGGATTTCACTCGATGGATCGAAGGCGCAAGCGCTCTTCGGGGGCTCAGTATTGTTGAGCGGGCGTGTCGACTTTGGCTGGTGCTGTCGGGTTCCGATGACTGTTGCATTCTTGTTGTTCTTGAGATTTCAATCCCTATTGTTGCAGTTCCAAGCGCTGGCGCCGTCGTTGGGGTTCCCACCTTGCTCTTCTGAGTTTATTGATCTCATAGCAGGGCGCTGTGATACAAGTGCCGTTTGATCCTAGCAAAAATAGAATATGGGATGAATGCCTCCTGAAAGACCTAGGCAGGAATGAGCTGCTATCTGGGGCACTGCTCTAATGGAATCGTCCGAGCAGGGCTACATACCAAGAGATTCTTGCCATGCTCCTCCTTTCAGACGGACGTAATGGAAATAATATCTGCGTATGGCGTACTTTCGTGCCATTCCAGCTGTTCGTGCCCGAGTTCAGACGGGAACTGGGTGCGGTTGAACCCGGCAGGCCCGGCTTGCAGACAGCGTTTGAACTCCTTTTCGTCCGGAAGATACACAATTCCGGTTTCCAAGCCATTACCTTCAACGTCCTCCAGTCATGCAGCGCACCGGATGCTGAGCGCTCTGATCAATGCCCATCGAAATTTGCTGCCTCACATGTGCTTGAGCGCGTGGATCTGTGTCGCAGTTGCACGGCTTCAACGGTTGAGGCGTGAGCGAACCAATTGGAAGTTTGGTTTTTACATCTTGGCTTCTCTTGGCAGTCGGAACTATTCTTGGCGTGGGGGCTTGGGGTTTTTCAGCCTCTTTGCAACGTCGAACGAGCCCGAACATTTTTACCACGATTCCCGGACTTGAAAGTTTGATGGACTCTGGCTATGGTTCGAGTTGGGTTGTGAAACAGATTAGGGGCTGCTTGCGCATCCACGATTCGAGTACGTCGGCTCGGCAATCTGTGTGCCGATGACATGTAAGCTTAACGAAACGTAAGGCCTGTTATGGGACGGATGGTGTCCCCTGACGTGTTGACTTCCTTCCAGCAGTGGCTGGTATGACCTCAGTAAGGAACTTGGGATGGCTTCCATGGATGGCATGGCGGTCCCTCCGCCGCCTCCGATGGTTTTTCCAGGACGGCTTTGTCGGGTGTGCTCAACGGCTACTGCCGGCTCCAATGAGTCCAATCTGGTATCGAAGCCAACGGCTTGCCTCTTCTTTGTTTCGCGGTCCCGCCGGCGTCTTCCTTTAACCTAGATGCTTTTCTTTGTCGAAACGCTTCGAAACGACGTCTCATTCTCAACGTCGATCAGGCAGAGTACTGCTTTTAGGTTTCTCACCCAAGCCGGGGTAAACATCAGACCGTACTTGGCAGTCTCCGCACAGGTTGACCTCAGACGAAGAGTACGTTCCGTATACTGTCCTCAACCCCCAGTGTCAACCTCACAAGCGCTCGGCATGACCACCAGCCTGGGAGTGGGCTGTGGGAGCGCTCCACCTGCTGGAGCTTCCCGTTTGGGTCTTACGATGAACATCTGCCGGCGCGTTTCCCTTGGCACACACCACCAGGAGCATGGATTCGGCTGGCTTGTCCCGAGGCAAGACGCCACAGGGAGTGTCGAGTGCTTCTCGATCACCCTCCTCCCAATACCATGGAGGCACATATCGGGTCTCAACGGTTTGCCAACTCTCGCTTGCGTGTTTGTGTCCTGGTTGAGCTGGTTGGTTCTAGACAGTCTCAGTTCTCCTGCATCCTGAGCTCATTCCGGCACATCCTGTAGGCCCTGTCAATGGCGTTTTACCCTGCAGTCTGTTCCAGCGCCGCCTTGCACCTGACACGCGCCGGATGGCTGCTTGCCCTCCCTTCCGAATATACATCCTGCTCCTGAAAGCTTGGCGCGCGGTTGCAAGTCATGCTATGCCTTGCACTGCTCGCGACAGTCAGCCACCGTGCCGTCCTAGCCACCATATAAACCAACTCGGCAGCCCATGATTGCCAGCCTTTGTTTCCTCAACAATTTATCGCTCCAGCCTTCAAGACTCCGGTTAAAGATCTTCTTCAGTCGCTCATTCAGAGGTGCAACCGCTCATTCGAAGAGGGCCAACGAGACATGATCTGAGGCTGACTGCTCCTAGCTGTGCTCGCCGTTCGCTTCCACTCCTTTCACTTTCTTGAACAATATCGAGGTATGTGGCCAATCCATTTCTCTCGGGAAGAAATAGAACTTGAAAGGCTAACATGGAGACAGCTGTGCTCTTAACTCTTATTCTTTAATCTTGTCTTGAGAAATCGTTCCCTCCCAACAACCAGCAACATGAAGCCCGTCACTTTCCTCTTCTCTGCTCTGGCCACCCTGGCTGCCGCTGCCCCTACAGCCCCCGTCACCGACCTCGAGGAGCGCTCCTTTGCCTTTGATGTCAACGCCTTCCACGGCTTCAAGAGCTTCAGCCAGGTCAACCTGAATTACCTGCTCAACATCAACTCCCTCCAGCTCGGTCTCCTCGGCAACCTGGCGAGCGTCAACAACCTTAACATCCTGCAATTCCAGCCCCTTTTCCAGCAGCAGGTCTTCGACATCTCGGCTCTGCTCCAGCTGCAGTCCCTGCACACCTTCCTGCAGATCCACCAACTTGGCGTCCTCAGCGGTTTCGACCTCGCTAGCCTTCAGCTGCAGCACCTCAACCTCGGCCTCCTCAACAACGTTGGTGTTCTCGATCTCCAGCAGTTCATCTCCCCCAATGTCGTTGGACAGGTCCAGACCGTGGCATCCCAACGTGAGTAAAAACCCCCCACTTCTACTGGCCTTTACCCTTTTATTGGCCCGCAACATCCATCATCTCTGCTCGGGCTTTCGGCAAAAAGCGTCTGTGTTCATACGAGAACCCCCCAGCCTCGGTTTCCTTTGATCCCAACCTGCTTGCTCCGGGCGTCAGTGTCGGCAACTCGAACGCCGCTGTCCCTGCTCCTAGCAGCGATGGCGAGGGCTCGAACGTCGTCACTGCGGCCGAGCAGGAGGCTCAAGAGGGTCGCAGCTCTCTCGACTAAGAGAGCGCGCTTCTTGGGGGGAATCAGAAAAGTCAACGACTTTCGAAAAAAAAAAAAAACACACTTTGGCGTTCGCTTGCAACTAGTCCGCCTCTGCAGCGGAATACGTTCACACACTTCGGGAATCGGATGGCTAATGTTGGGCTCTTTTCCGCCTTCAAGTGCTCGTCGCCAAGGAGTAAACGATTTTGGGTGCTCCTCAAACCGCCTACAATGCGACGCTCGGCATTCGAGGGCAGACAAGACGCTAGTGCAACGCCGCTTGGTTTCCTAGTCTTTGGGCATCTTATCACGGGGCATCGACGGCGGGAGGCTAGTAGATATATTGATTGCTTGACGACGCGCGGGAGATCCTTTGTCTCTAGACTTTGAAATCTCACGGACTCGGTATTGTTACGGGGCTGTTGTTTCGGTTTTCATTTTCCTTACACGGAGTACGCGGAGTGAGCGAGTGGCAGGGAGAAATGAATGACTAAAGGTAGCGGGAGAAAAGGTTGGAAGGTGTGGATAATCAACCGGATTGATTTTCCTTGGATCTTTTAGTTGCCCAATTCTTTTGAGTTTTGCTTCGCTTGCTTGACAACTGGATCTGGCGTGAGTGAAGCTGGCGATTCCTACCTCCGGCATATGGTGTTGTCGCAGAACGGAGTGTCATGGCTAGTTCCCTTGGCCCGGAATACCTGTAGCTTCTTTAGTCGGTAAATATCTACTTTGAGAACAGGGAGTGAAGCACTAAATGGCGTGTGCTCAGGTGAGTGAGCCGGGGAGTGATTTGCCGGACTGTGTGGTGGTTGGTCGAACCATGGCATGGAGAAGATTCCAGGGGTAGTCGGCTTACACAAGGTCCGAAACCTCCTGACGCTGGGTGTCGGATCGGCGCGGGAGGAAGGGGCAAGCTGGGTAGACGGTGGAATGCTGCCGTCGTCTTCATTATGCGGAACGAGCAGTGAGGTTATCGCATTCCTGTGTTGTGATGAAGAAAAACCGAGGTTTAACACAAAACGGAGGTGACCTGTGGGGAATGTACGGGATTCAGCGCCAATGCATTGTTCAATGAATGTTTATCCATGTTTTTGTCTTTCTGAGCTTCGGGGCAGATCTTGGGCGGAAATCGGGCTTATTGGGTTAGGGTTAGAAGCGTGTTTCTCGCCGCAGTATTTCCTGCATCAATTCAATGATTGAGCCAAAGAGGTATTGTACCTGGAAGACTGGATTTCCAGATGAACCACGTTGAGACGATTAGCAATGACCTGGCGAGCTTGGCCAGGAGCGGCAGGAGACACCCAATCGCGAAGTGCCACAGCATGTCCGAGCTTTCACTTGGACTGAGAATCTTGGTGTTGCCTCTTCTGGGCGCATCTGAATTTACTCATGTGGATCCGATCCATCCCGTGGCTGAGGCCCGTCGTGTGCTGAGAAATGGGCTGACACTGCCGCCGGACCGCAGCAACTAAGCTTTTACTACAGAGCCTCAATGCTACCTACTACGTAGCTCTTGCGGCGCGGGGTGGAACGTCGGACGAAAGTCACGGCAGAAGGCGTTGACGTAAGATTTGAAAATGCTTCAACCCTGGACAGAAGTCGACTCGGCCATCCAAATGTCGACATCCCGGAATACAACAGCGGCAAGGCCTGCATGCACTCCCAGAGCGAGCATTGCGCCAGTAGCACACACTGACGAGCCGCATTCGGGGATGGTGGCATTCTCATTGCCAGCATATGAATATCATCAGGCTAAAATATCGAGGCATCTTAAGTAGGACAGACAGTGAACGATATGGAGCTTCAGATCCCGGTTCGAACAGGCGCTGCTGCATCGTCTTCGGAGTCGGGACTTCCTTTGCTTCACTGCAGCATCGCGTCCGCAAAATCGTGTCCCGCCGCGAAAGAGCCGGTCCTGATGATGTGGAATACGAACAATGCTCCGACTCGGGCCGGGACGACAAGTGGACTTCTGATAAGTCATTGTAGAGGCTCCGTTCTGAATTGTTGGTGTTCCACTGGCACATGGAGAATGATTGTGCAAAGACTAGGTACAGTACATAGCTCGAAGAAGAGAAGCTGCCTAAGAAACTAACGAATTTAACTAGCGCTGCCAGAAAACGGGGCAGGGAGCTTGACTACGGTACCAATATAGTAGCCAACACCTCAGCGCTTCACAACTTACTACCTGAGCTCACCTCTGCGACGACGCAACTATTTCCTGTCCGGAACATTCTGGCCACTGCGGCTCTTCTATCCCCATGCCCAGAAGTATGAAGAAATGGCGTGCGTAGGGCATATTTGTACGTGTATGGCCTCCAATCTGCAGTGCAGAAAACCCGGGAAAAGCAGCCAGTTCGATGCCCGACGCAACTTGGGAACAGTTGCCCCACCAAACTCCCTGCCCCACCAAACTCCCTGCCCCACCAAACTCCCTGCCCCACCAAACTCCCTGCCGCAGTTGCACGGCAATCCAGGTCATGCTTTCATCCAGATTGTGCAGTCGTCAGCACTGATTTTGCCAACCGGTGATATGGCTTCTGGAATGGCGATGTGTCGCAGTTGAAATGGCGACAATTGACGGCTGCAACCGGCCTGACCTGGACATGGTGCGGCCTGCGTGATTCCTCCAGAAGCAGGCTTGCCCGTTCAGGCCAAGGTAGATCCAATGCCCCGACCGCGGCACCTCGACGGCTGCCATTAACTTACGTACAGCTGAAGGCCCGGCTTTGGTGGCTGCGCCAACCATGAGCACCGGGATTGGCATGGTGCAAGGGGCTGATCGTGCTTTGATGCTCCCAAGTCGTTTGGTGCAGCATTGCGAGCTGCCGTTCCGGATGATCGCGTGCCCGTCGCTGGCTGGAAGATCTAGCCTTGGAAAACTTTAGTTGGCAAGAGCCGAGTCATCCCAGACCGCCGTCCCTCCTGCACCTCATATACACGTGTATCCCTCGCTGCAGTTTGCTCTCTCCCATTCCATCTCCTCTTTCCACCTCTTGTTGAACTCCACACAGCAAAGCGGAGCCGTTGGAGCCATCACACCTTTTGGACAGGGGTCGTGGTCAACAGCAATCGACACCGCAAATCCACGATTTGGACCCTAGCATCTTGGCGCCCATCGGTCCCACTCCGCACCAAGCATTCGATGAGCCACCATCAAGACATAAGCCTCTCCGCCCCCACTCAAGCACACTCTCTCATGCAGTTATATCATGAAGGGTGCACACGCTTGATATTTTCCTCCTTCTTCTCCACACAAAGACTGTGTCTGATGTCAATCGAGCCTTTACGATTTCACACCACATCTTGGGTTGGCACGCTTTTGTCCAGCTGCGTGTAGCTCGAGACCTCGTGTTCATTCTCTCCGGGACTGGACCCTGTTTTGCTTGCAGCATCCGTATTGGCCTGGGTCTCACAAGCGGTCTGCCGGAGGCTACGATCTTCGTGCACTTTGTCGTCTAGACACCTTTCGATAATCTTGTCGACTGCTTTCCGGTCGATATGAGCAGCTCGCCGGCCTGTTTCACTGCACTCTTGCTTGTTGGACGCACTGGCAACCGACGGCCTTGGATCCCCACCCGTTGAACAGACAGCATTTTCTAGCATGAAAACCTCAACCATGGCCACCCACTCGCCCGACTTCTCGGATGACGAATTCGAATTTGTCGAGGAGTACTTCTCTCGCACTTACCAACCGCTATCCAACTTGCCCACACCGCCACCTTCGTCGCACGAGTCGTTGGCTAACCAGAGCCCGGAGGCCCTTCTGGAGGACGGAGGGCTCCTTGACTCGGCTTTGCTGGGTACGTCGAGACCGTTCTACCTGTCCAGGTATCTCTCGTTGGTCGAATTGTATCTGACGACCGCTCCTTTCACAGGCCCAGCTATCCATTTGGTCAACCTCATCCCCCCGGCAGCATCTCTCACGGCACCATCTGTTCCCGTCGTCCACGAGATGCTTGTCCGCGCTGACCTGCCCATGGACATTATTGCCCTGGCCGTGTGCGTTTTGGACTCGCTCAGCTCCAAGTTCTCACTGAACTGGCGACTTCTCTGTCCCCTGGCGCAGCGAGAGCCCACCAATGAGGTGACGAAGCGACACACGATTCAGGCCAGCCCCGCGGCCGCAACTCAACTCCATATTGACTCTGTCAGCCCAGAGGTGATTGTCCTAGGAGCGCTCGTCATTGCCTTCAAGTTCGTGGTCGACTGTCAGGAGCCCACTCGGTACTACCGCGACGTTTGGGGAAGGAACATGTGGACCAGCGACCAGATCAATGTGACGGAAAGGTGCATTTTGGAAAACCTGGGTTGCCGGATCCTGCCGCTGTGGGATTCGGTTCTGATCGCCGATGCGACCCGGGACATGCAGCGCGCTGCAAGGCAGGCGGCGTTTGCGTCACATCCCAGAAATGGGGAGGCGCACAAACGCTCCGTGAGCTCGGGCGAGGTCCTCTCGGTTCGCATCCCGTTGACGCCGGCGGAGACGCCCACGTTGGAGAACGGCCCAACCGTCAGCCCCGTGCGCGAAGCCGCGGACACTGCGTTCTATGGCGGCGACCTTGCCTCTGTTGACTCCTCAACGTTGAAACTACCTCCACGAACGAAAAGGAAGGCATCGTCTCCTGTGTCCGGTTGAGAAGACCGGCGATTCAGGATTCGGAGCGACCTTGAGCCCTCGCGTTCCCGGGGACTCAGTGGATATCAACATACCGCATAACGGGTCTAATGACAACCAGACGGAATTTTTATTGCAGTTGCTTGTAACGCAATGACTGATACGGACGGACATGGATGGAGATGAGAACGGGCACGGAAAGTGATCGGGACACGCTTCCCAAGGCTTGGGGTTATCGGGACAATTGCCAGCATACAACGGAGTAGGAAACGGAAGCTCGACCACAAAGACTATGGCGTCAGGGGAGATCATATCACACCGTTATTTGTTGTCTTGCGGGAGTCAGCGAACTATACAGATGGTCACTTTTTAGGCAACGCACCCCGTTGTAAGTTCTACAACTAAATAGTAATGAGCGAGTATACCTATCATCGGACGTGGAGGACTCGGTACAGACCTACCAGGTATTTTCGAATCGACCTCCCGCGCCTGGAAGCGTGAGGGCTCTGTAACTTTCACTTCTGTATCGGTAATTCCTATGCTGGACAAGGTGGAACAGCACAGAACGTATCTCTGTAAGCCATCCCATCACCAACGCTGAATCAACTGTCAACATTTAACGTTATTTACTGCACAGACATCACGCAGCAAACAGATGGGTGTAAGCAGAACTAGGGTTAGGGTAAGGATGGGACTCGAATTCAGGACAAGGGTCACCACGACCACATGAGAGGCAATTGGATGCGATCGCCGCACCAGCGATTGCGACAGAGCGACGGATAGTCACTTCGACCAAGTTGAATTCTCATTTTTATTGATACCCAAAGTTGTCCTTGAGCCAAGTGCATACAATGAGGCATAGTTGATCAGCTAACGGGTCTTTTATTTTTCTTTTCGGAGTGGGTTTTCATCCAAACAGGAGCTCCGCGACTTCCTGGTCCCAATCATCGTTTCCCTCTCCAATCCCACGGCGACGCCATCATCATGAGCGACCTCGACAGGTGAGTTGCGACCGCTGTTCTCAAGTAAATCAAACTGGGCGTTTGACTCAGAGCTCCTTCAAACCGTCAGAGCGATTGCGCAATTGCGAGCATGCCGACCGATACCCGAGGCCGAAGTGCGGGAGCTCTGCCACAAGGCGAGGGAGCTGCTTATCGAGGAGGGGAATGTCGTCACAGTCAATGCGCCGGTAACAGTATGCGACAGCTCTTTCGCGCGCGATGCAGAATGATGGGGGCTGATCAGCGCGCGCGCAGATATGCGGCGATATCCATGGCCAGTTCCACGATCTGATGGAGCTGTTCCGCGTCGGTGGTGACGTCCCAGACACAAATTATCTCTTCATGGGTATGCGGGGCCGCTTGCTTCCGAATTCCCCCCCTTTCTTTCTCTCTGTCACTGACAACAACCAGGCGACTTCGTTGACCGGGGCTTCTACTCCCTCGAGACCTTCCTACTGCTGCTCTGCCTCAAAGTCCGCTACCCAGACCGAATGACCCTGATCCGCGGCAACCACGAGTCGCGCCAGATCACGACCGTGTACGGTTTCTACGACGAGTGCCTCCGAAAGTACGGCAGCGCAAATGTCTGGCGCTACTGCTGCGACGTATTCGACTACCTCGCCCTGGGCGCCATCGTCCTCGGTGCCTCCAACACCCTCCCTTCCACCAGCGGCCAGACCGAGTCGTCGGCGAACAGCGACGAGGTCGAGATTGAGGTGCACAACTCGGACGGACAGATCATCTCGCGGTTCCTGCGGCAAAAGGATGTTGACAGGGGGCGAATTAACAGCACTCCAACAAACGGCAACAGCACGCCAGTAACCAACGGCGCAACATCATCACCCTCTCCCACCCGCACCGCCGCCAAGAACAACAACCGCACCCCGACCCTCACCGGGCCCCCGGGTTCAGGCGCGTCCAGCTCCAGCGCCGGCTCCGTCGGCAACCCCTCGGGCGCCGTCCTCTGCGTGCACGGCGGCCTCAGCCCACTGATCGAGAACGTGGATAAGATCCGGCTGCTCGACCGCAAGCAGGAGGTGCCGCACGAGGGGGCCATGTGCGACCTGCTGTGGTCGGACCCGGACGAAATCGACGGCTGGGGGCTGTCACCCCGGGGTGCGGGGTTCCTGTTCGGCGCCGATATCGTCCAGGTCTTCAACCGCCGCAACAACCTGGGCTTGATCGCGCGCGCGCACCAGCTCGTCATGGAAGGTTTCAAGGAGATGTTTGACGCGAGCATCGTGACGGTGTGGTCCGCGCCAAACTATTGCTACCGCTGTGGGAATGTGGCGGCGCTGTTGGAGCTGACTGAGGATGAATCTGGGATGGGCGTGCTGGCGAGGAGTAATGGGGAGGTGAATCGGAGTGACGGGGGGATGGGGACGGGTGGGGTTGGTGGTGGTGGCGGGAGACCTGGGGGTGGTGGTGCTGGGCAGAGGGGCGGGGGACTGTTGGACGACGATCTGCCGCCGAGGAGGCCCGGGCCGGCGAGGAGGTACCGCGTCTTTCAGGCAGCGCCGCAGGACTCGAGGGGTATGCCGGCCAAGAAGCCGGTGGCTGACTATTTCTTGTGACACGGTTTGTTGTTATATCCTCTTGATGAACACCAGACATGAGGATGGGACAGGAATCTGCACTGGGTTGGGCGAATCAACTGTTACAGGGTAGGACGGACAGGTTTAGTCGTCTGTATTATACTTTTCGAGGTACATTCTATACCCGAGCCATGCGCTGCGTTCTGAAGAGCCGAACAGAACCCCCGAGGGACTCGGGTTTGGCAAAAACCAAAAACATACAACACTAGGGATTCGCTGGTCGTCACCGACCCAACTACTAATCTAGCAGTCAGTAGCTTGTCAAGGGGAGAGCAGACGGGATCCCGAATTTTCTACTGCTTATGGTCGTATGTATTTGAGTGAGTGGAGGACACTGGCTAAGAAGGGGGCCGGATCTCGATGTATAAGGCCGTTTGCGGTTGGAAGGTGAAGTTAAATGATCCCTATAGCTCCTAAGCGACTGTAAAGTTGGCAACGACAGGAATACATAATGGCATTGCGTTGTGCTATGTGGAAGTTGCGGAAGTGACTGGAGAGTGTCAACGGAAAGGAGACCAGAGGCCGGGCCCCTGCGCTTCATCCATGTCGTCGTCGGAACGGAAATGAGAAGAAGGGAAAGGGACAGAAACAGAAGGAAAAGGCATTCTAGTTCTGATTTGGTCAGCCAGCAGAGCACTCAGAGTCCGATTCCATCCCTAATATCCAGAAACGACTATGTTACATGTCTGTTGTGTCCTTTGTTGTTTGGCTAAACAATGGGGTTTTTACTATGCACCACTCTGTTGTTCGTAGGGCCCTGGAAACCGAATGCCTTTGTCCTCCAACGCTTAGCCCCTTCACTCACTTTAGATGTAAAAAGTCTCACGTCCCACAACCTCGCTTCCGGGAACCCCCAAGCCTACAGGTATTGAGCAGTCCGATCTCTCTAACACCCAACCAGTCCCATACCATGGCTGACATGCCCTTTGAGACAAGTTGCTTTGTCCCCGATCCCAGATACACCTTCCTATTCGACCCTACCCCAAGAGAGAACCTCATCTGCGCTATCTGCACCGAGTCCCATCTGAGCGTCCCCTGGAGCTGGGCAGCCATCAGGGACAGCAATCCGTCCCTTCTCCCCTGCGGCCATGTGTTTGGGCACAAGTGCCTCCAGATCTGGCTCAGGACTCACGACACCTGCCCGGCCTGCCGCTTCCGGCTGAAGTACGACCTTTGCAAGCACCCTATCCCCCCACGCCGGCTGACCCGCGAGAGCCTCCTGTTGGTGCCGCCGACGATCCCGGACGGCGGGGCGGTGAGCGATCAGTGTAGCTGGTGCCGGACCAAGACGGACCAGATGGTTATTCTTGAGCTGTGTGTGCCGTTGGCAGGAAGGTACTATGAGCTCAAGGCGACGTATGAACGGACGGGGTCGGAGGTCGATAGGAAGAAGACAGCGACTGCCAAGGGGCACTTGGACAAGGTATTGCACGGGTTGGTGCCGCCGAATGATTGGCAGTGGTAGGCCCTGAGAGTATGCCATTGCTGTTGTTCATTGTCAACATCTCTAGTAGTTGGTTCCCATCGGCTTTGAGGACTGGGCCAGTCCATGACGGTACCACATTGGCGTCTCCAGCATTGGTCGCGATGGACAAATACGGCCCATGCACACGCAATAAATGTGCCGCAATCCCATCTATTCCATCACGTACAGAATAAGTGAACAGTCCCATTCCCAAACCGCAATCATGACTCCTCCTGTTGCTTTGCCTTTGCCGCCTGCTCTTGCGCGCGCTCGTGCTCAATGATCTGCTTGCTCCAACTGTCACAGACAACCCCAGTCAGCCCTATCCACAATCCCGGGTATCATAACGTACTTTCTGCTGGGGTAGAAACGGCCGGGCTCAGGCATCTTGTGGCGGTATTCCCTCTCGGCGCTCAGGTTCCAGACGAGGGCGGTGATGCCGAAGATGACGACGCCGAAGATGGCCGTGTTGGCCTTCCAGTTGGCTGGCTGCGCATACCAACCACCGGCCGGCGACCAGACGTGCTTGGGGTAGCTAGGGCATTCGGTCAGGAGTCTGAGGGTGCAACAAGCGAGGGGAAGTGGTGGGTGGTCGTGGTTTGGGTTGATGCGAGTCTGTTTCGAGGAGGGAGACTCACGGGATCTTTCCGCCGCCGCCCTATATACAGTAAATGTTAGTGAAGCCATTTAAAGCATCGCTGGGGAAGCTAGTGCTTACCATTATGATGTGGTTGCGTCGGGAGACGTTGGTTGGAAATGGTTGTTGCGGTTGAGCTGTTGCTATCACAAAACAATCAGTCGAGCTGCAAATGGGTTACTCGTCCGGGTAGAGAGTCTCTGTCAGTGGAAAGTGTAATTACCGTACCGCTGCGTGCTGTATCGAAACGAGAACTGCTGTCATGCTTAGAAGCCAGTCAGCCCCACACTTATTTGGCCTGCCACCTCATAAAATTGGGCAGTTAGCTAGGAAAGCCAAAACAAGATCCCATTATTGCAAGCAACACAAGGCATATATACGTATACGCCTACCATAGGAGGTAGTGAAATCGGAGCCCCCGATTCCAGATATTTAACGCGATTGATGATATGGGTAATTCGCGTACAGTTCTTGATGTATCCTTTTTCTACATCGGACTTCGAAATCACCTCGAGGCAAGTGGGGTTGTCCTGACGTTTGAGGCAGGAACAATTCTTGGCAAAACCATGCTGGATTTTTCAAGAGTAAGGGCTTGAAAAGAGATCATCGAGAACTCTACGCGCATTACCCGTATCACCAATTGCGTTGAATATCTGGAATCGGAGGCCCCGATTTCACTACCTCCTATAGGAAGTGTATACGTATATATGCCCTGTGTTTTTTGCAGTAATGGGATCTTGTTTTTGGCTTTCCTAACTTTCCGATTTTAAGGGTTGGCAGGCTAGGAAAAAGTGGGGTTAACCTGGCGTTTGAGCATGATAGTGAGTGCAGGTGGGGTCTGGTTTCAAATGCCCCTGCCGCCAGCGGCCAATGGCTGGGAAGCTGCATCTCTGGGAGAACTTTTTTCGTCTGTCTGCGTCTGGCGTCGTTGACTTTGGGGGAGAAAGGCAAACGTGACCGCAGACAACACGACAAGACCAGCCCATTGCGACTCCCTCCTTCTTCGACACGGGCGGGTTCCAAGGAACTCAAACCTCCAGCCAAGTCGGCCAACACAACCCACCACATACCCGCCCATGAAAAGGTTACGAGTCGACCGATGGACAGGCCAATTGCTCCTGGCTCGTCCGGGCGCTTGCCCGGCCTCAACCCCAAGGACCGCTCTCCGGCCAGCAGCAGCTTCTAGATGCGCCGCCGTGCGGACCCGGTCGACACGCGCCATGCCCGAAATACCCACCGACGAAGACTACGCCGATGGGACAGACCACACCCGCTTCCCGCCCCTGGAGAAGCTCCCACCCCGGGCGACGAGCTTACCATCGCCGCCGCCAGAACGGGCTCTCCAGTCGGCGAAGCTCGCCGCCCTGCACGCCCGTCTCTCGCTCCCAGAAAAGCTGCCCCTACAGACGCTCGCAAGGGCCCTAGTCGACAATTCGGCCGACGAGAATCCGCTCTTCAACAACACGAATCTTGCCTTCGTCGGCCAGTCCCTCATCCACTACCATGTCGCCGAGTGGCTCATGTGCCGGTACCCGCGCCTGCCTATGGAGATTCTGTACGCCGCTATGAAGGGCTACGCAGGCCCGGCCGCGCTGCACCATGTTGCGCGCTCGTGGGGTCTCGAGCATGCCGCCGCGCCGGGCGGGGAGGTCGATCCGGGGCTGCTGCAATTCTCGCTGCACAAGCCGGGCAACGCCATCGTCACGCTAGGGTACAAGCGGGCCGAGGCCGAGGGGTTGCAAAAATACAAGTGGCGGCACGGTATCAGCAGCCGGGTCGTGTTCGATGACGACTTCGGTCAGGTGGTCGAGACGGACAAGGCGACCCAGCTCCGGCGCGCCGACACCGAGTATGGCAACGAGTACACGCGCTCGCTAGCCGAGAAGGCCTACGCCAACTGCGCGCGGGCCGTCGTCGGCGCAATCTACGCGCACGCGGGTCGCGAGCCGGCCAAGGCCTTCATCAGGTCGCACATCCTCTCGCGTACACTCGACCTGTCGGCGCTCTTCAGCTTCAAGAAACCGACACGCGAGTTGGCGCTGCTTTGCGCGCGCGAAGACTTTGAGTTCCCTATCGCTCGGCTGCTGTCCGAGACGGGCCGCCTCTCGCGCACCCCCGTCTTCGTTGTCGGCATCTTCTCGGGCAAAGACAAGCTCGGAGAAGCCGCGGGTCCCAGCCTTGAGGTCGCGCGCAACAAAGCCGCCATGAACGCCCTCAAAAGCTGGTACCTGTACAGCCCCGGCGAGCATGTGCGCGTGCCGAGCGACATGCTGGCCGAGGACGCCCAGCCGTGGACGCCTGCGTATATCGACATGGGCGAGATTATTGGGCGCTAAATGCTGGTTGTTGGGGTGGTGTTGGTGCTTGGCTGCGAGGCAGGGAGAGACGGGTACGATGGGTTGCGCAGCGGCCAGTGGGGAGACCCCGTCTGCCAAATCCACCATCCCGGGTGGGATCGAGAAAGCATTCCCACTTGCGTGTCTGGTGCTTAGAAAGCGGGTATGTATTGTACATTTAACATATGGCCACATCCATACCGATCTGGCAGCGAGATACGGCTTCCGGTCGGTCATCATTGGGAGGAGTTCCGTAGAAGGGGATGGTAACTCAGCCGTGTCACTGTAGTGTATGTATGTATAGTAGGATCAAGTATTCATTGCCTGGTCTCGAGGGATGTGTCCGCTCTCGGATGCCAACATATCGGCAGGAACCGTTCAGGTCCTGGCTCAGCGTCCTGATGACACCCAGCTGTGAACGAAGGAAGTAAAGTACATGAACAGGCAAACAGAGTTAAGGCGTTCTGTCGTTTATGGACTGCGGTGGATGTCCTGATCTAGTCATACCATGTCAAATTTGCTGCTTAGAAGTGCAGAATCTGCTTCATATTCTAAGTCTCGGCCCGTACGACCGAGTCACTGAGGGTATATCCACCATTCTTGATTTCCCACCCTTGAACAGAGTTACATCTAACATCAGGCAGCAAAGCCTTTTCTCTTCCTCTTCCATACTGTCATCTCAGCCCTCGCAGCCGGTTTGTCCATTCCCGCCGCCACCGGACACATAACGTCGTCACCTATCCGGCCGGGTCTTCTCTCCCCCTTCCTTCCCAGGGGCACTGCTGCCGCCGTGGAATCGCAACCACTCCCCCAAGATCCCGCCCGGTTTCGGCACGGGACACTCCCGCTTCTGTGGTCCCCTCACCCGCCTCCTAATCTCATTTTCATATTCGGCACCATCACCACCACCACCAACAGTTGTAGTCCCAGGCTGAAACTCCACCACCGCCCCAACCCCAGCACCAGCCCCAGCACCATTCCCACCTTCCTCCCCTTCCACATCATTGCCATCCTCTTCCCTCCTCCTCCTCCTAACTCTCCTGCTAGACCCGGAGAGTGACGACGACATGCTATCTCCGCCGTCGTCGGCGTAGTACGCCCTCCTCCTTGGCGCGGGACAGGGCAGGATGTGCGGCAGGGCGACGACGAGGAAGCTCGCGAGGACGGTCGTTGCGAAGAGGGACGAGGTCATGCGCGAGCGCGGGTGCAGGTGGGGGGGCGGCATTTTTTTCTGCTGCTATCTATTATTTCCCTCTTTATCTTTTGCTGTGACTGCGACTTTTGTTCCAGGGGGTAAGCGTAATTTGTTGTTGAAATTGGATCAGGGAAAGTGAGATGGAGGTCGTCGTGTCGACCGCGGTTGACCGTGGGATGGGGTTGGAGCTTTTGGGGGGGGGTCGGGCCAGGTGAGCTTGGGATCGGGTCCGAGGGCACCGGCTGATGAAAGCGGTTGTGGATGGGTAGGTGGGGAACCCGACCGATGGGAGGTTCACAGGGCGTACAAAATCTGGACGATGCGAGAAGACCGAGATTGTCAGTCTTGAGGGCGGAATCCGGCGGTCGGGCTACATTAGATCAGAAAACAGCTCGGTTAGTAAATCCATATGCTAAGCAAGTACAGTACGAGTTACGGTTGTTATGTTTTGGGGGGTCAACTGGGCAACTGCGAAACGTACCAGTGCTCAATCAAGCACGAAATCGATACCAGATCATCCTGCGTGCCGACTCGCTCAGTTCCGTCGTCGCCAGGGGATGTGCTTGCCCGGCTGGAGTTGAGCTCGAAGCTCGGAGAGCTTGGAAATTCTGCGCGAACGGTTGGCCGAGCAGGTCTGGAACGTGATTTCAGGGGTCGCTTTCAGAAATGGGTTAGGGTTATATGAGTACCCTGATAATTGGCGACCTCTTCATCACAGTCGAAACAACAAATTCAAGCCATCATGACCAACACCGACAGTCGAGCGAGACAAGAAGATGCCTCGTATCCCAGACCATGTATAAAGCTCGAACGTTGAAGAGGTACACATATACTGTACATAATGATACATTCAGTCAACCCAGCTGAAGTCAAAACAAAAACACAGTGCTCCCCACCACCCACGCATGTCCCAGTCACATCATCATCACCGTGATCCAGCGGCGCGAGCCGTTGCGTGTCTACGACAGATCCTTGGTTCTAGCTAAGAAAATCAACCGACGCTTTTTTCTGACCCAAACATGAGCAAAAGGAGAGCAGAAGCAAAACGACCCGCTAGCCACCAAATAGATACTTTTCCCATCCCGTGCTATACATTGTTGCAGATAAATACGGAAAGAAACCAATGTTCGTCACCAATGAATCCCTACGACATGACCAGCGCAAGCAAAGCCATGCGGCAGTAGAGACCATATCTCATCTATCACTTAGGTCAGCCACCACACTCACCACCAGGATTCAAGAAAAGAGAGAGAAAACTCACCTGTCTGAAATACGCCGCCCGCTGATCGAAATCCACCTCCTCCGCCACCTCCTCATTCCTCGGCAGCGGGTGCAGAACCACCATGCTGCTCTTGGCATGCTTGAGCGTGCCATAATCAATCTTGTACGCGCCCTTGACAGCCTCGTAGTCGGCCAAACTGGCGAACCGCTCCTTTTGCACGCGCGTGCAGTAGAGCACGTCCGTCCGGCCCAAGATCTCCGGCGTCAGCGTCTCCGACTCGCAGAGCAGCTGATCAGCGTCGACGAGCTGCTGGCGGATGACGGCCGGCAGCGCGAGCGCCTTGGGCGCCACGAGCTGCACCTTGACCTGGTAGTGCCGGAGCAGGTAGACGAGCGAGTGGACGGGGCGCCCGTAGAGCAGGTCGCCGACAAAGGTAATGGTCAGTCCTTGCATGGTGCCGAGCTCCTCGCGGATCGTGAAGAGGTCGAGGAAGGCTTGCGTCGGATGCTCCTTGCTGCCGTTGCCGCCGTTGATGACGGGGACCGGGCTGTATTTCTTGGCGACGTCGACGCACTTCTCATCGGGGTGGCGGAGGACGACAGCGTCGCCGTAACAGGCGAGCGTGCGCAGCGTGTCTTGAAGAGTCTCGCCCTTTTGTACGGACGAATGCGAGGTGGAGATGGCGATGGTCCTGCCGCCGAGACGCTGCATGGCTGCGTCGAACGAGGCCGACGTCCGAGTAGACGGCTCGTAGAAGAGGGTGCACAGCAGGCGGCCCCGGAGAATGTCGAGCACGCCTTCACGTTGCACACCGAGACGCATCTCCTGAGCGATGTTGAAGAGTAGATGCAGGTCAGCCCGTGTGTACTGCGTGACCGACAGGACGTGGGCCTTCTTGAACGAAGACGGAGCAGAGAGCATTTCCTGAAGCGGCGAGACCGTGGGCTGCAGAGTCAACGGAAGAGAGAGCTCGTCCATGACTGGCGCCCGACCCAACTGTGCAAGGGGTGCGCTGCTGTCTGTGACCTTTGACCTGCCAAATGGCGGCCGGACACCAGCTTGGCCCTGGCGACGCTCGTCGAGGACAGGTGACATGGGGTACTGCACGGGCTTGGCAGCGGGCGAGGAGATGGCAGCCATCGGCGGCATAGCCCCGTGTGTGGACATGTCATTGCCCCTGGGCGGGACAGACAGGATGGAGCCATCTAAGCAAACGACCTGGTCCTGGAAGGTCACGCGCTGGACAGCAGCTTTCAGGACCTTGCCGTAGAAAGGAGACCAGGACTTGGTGGCTTTCAGGGTGCATGGACGGTCAATCTCGACCTCCAGGCCGGCGCCAACTTGGTCATGCAGCTCGAAGATTTCCTTCGGGTTGTCGTGGAGTCTGGCCTTGACATCGTCGACAGTGAGCTTGCCCTCAGCAACTGAAGTGAGAAGAAGAGGCAGAGCGTCGGCAATGCCAACCGTCACGTCCGCCGGCTGATTCAGGAAGTGGGCGAGCTGGTAGGGCAGGCTACCAATAGAGAAAACATCGATCGTCTCCAGGTGCTCCCAGAGAGCGGCCTGGTCCTCGGCCGTCGGCAGGAATTGGCAGCCGGGATAGTCCTTCTGCGACAGGTACAGAGAGTAGATGTTGACATCACAAGTGACCTTGAGACCCTTATCCTTGCCCAGCGCGATGAGCTTAATGTCATCCTTGGTCGTCACCGCAGTGACGTGGACGCGCCGGCTGTGCAGGCTGGCAAGCAACAAAATTGAAGCCAGGTCGGTCGTCTTGGCGTCTGTGATGATGGGCTTGTGTGTCGGCCAGGCCTCAAAATGCTCCTGCACTGCTGCGACCTTGCTGATATTGTCCGAGAGGTGGTTGAACGGAATGAACAGCGAACCAACCTCGGCGGCGGCATGGCTGATCTGGTGAGCGTTGTCCGAAGTTGCCGTGATGGATAGGTTGAAATCGCAGTACGCGCCGCGCTTGCCGTTCTGCTGGGCGATCTTCAGAGACTTGACATCAGAGATTGAGCCATCCTTGCCGACGGGCATGACGCGGATCATGCTGAACCCAGCAGCAATCGACGCCTTGGTCACGCGCTGCAGATCATCGCTGTCCCTCGACACAAGCCCTGGCGCGAAGGCAGCAATGTTCACCAACCCGGGCAGCTGGATCGTGCGGTGGCTCGTCTGGTAGTCGCGAATGCCGATGTTGAGCTCGAAGTGCCTGGCAAGGGCTTCGACAAGGATCTTGGCGTTCTTGACGTTGGTGACGAGCGGAATCTGATAGTCGACGGCCATGCGGCGGGTTTGGTAGCCCTTGCTCATGTAGTTGGCCGGACGCCTGTATTTGTTGTTGGACGGCAGGTTGATGTACAGGTCGATCATGTTCTTGGCCAAATGCGCCGTGAGAGAGTACTCGGACTTCTGGTCGTCCTCCTCCTTGCCGAGGACCTCGAGGTACTGCACCTGCACGCCGTGAGTTCCGAGGAAGTCTGCGGTGCCCGCCGTGGCAAAGAGCTTGTAGCCCATCTCCTGCAGCTTTTTGACCGAGGGGAGCAGTTCCACCTTTTCTGCATAGGATCCAATAGAAAGCAGAATGTTGTTCTTGGGAATTTTGAAGCCCGTCGACAGAAGAGCCTTGAGGTAAGCCTCGTACTTGTCAACGCCAAACGAGGCAACTTCACCAGTCGAAGCCATCTCGACACCTAGGACGGGATCGGCACCCGACAGACGTGAGAAACTGAATTGCGGAACCTTGACTCCGACGCAATTTGCAGGACGGTCAATCTTGGGATACTCCTCGAAGGGGATGTTCATGATCGCCTTGGTAGCCATCTCGATAAGGTCAACGCCCATGACTTTAGAGACGAATGGGAATGAGCGAGAAGCGCGGACGTTGCACTCAATCACTTTGATGTCGTTGTCCTTGGCAATAAACTGAATGTTGAAAGGGCCCGTGACGTTAAGCGCAGCGCCGATCTTGCGAGTAGCCTCCTCAATGCGCTGGATGGTGGTCTGTGACAGGTCCTGAGGCGGGAGGATAAGGGTGGCATCACCAGAGTGGACACCGGCGTTCTCAACGTGCTCTGAGATAAAATGGCCGACCACCTTGCCGTCCTTGGCGACAGCGTCCATTTCAATCTCTTTTGCGTTCTCGATGTACTTGGTGATGACAACCGGGTGCTCGGGAGACACTTCAGCCGCTTGCTGCAGGTAGTTCTGCAAATCGCCTTCCGAGTAGACCGTGTTCATGGCGGCACCAGAGAGCACATACGAGGGGCGCACCAGAACCGGGTACGAGACGTTCTGGCAGAAGGCTCTGGCCTCCTCGAAGCTCGTTAGCTCCTTCCAGGTCGGCTGGTCGACGCCAATGCGGTCAAGCATGCGGGAGAACTTGTAGCGGTTCTCGGCAGTGTCGATCATCTCGGGGGAGGTACCGAGAACGTTGACACCAGCACGCAGGAGCGGCAGGGCGATGTTATTTGGTGTTTGACCACCCATGGCACCAAGGACGCCGCTTGCCGACTCGGCTTCGTAGATGTCCAGCACCGTCTCCAAGTTGATGTTTTCAAAGTACAGCTTGTCGGCCTCATCGTAATCAGTCGAGACGGTTTCTGCGAAATTGGAATCAGCTATGATATTCCTAACAATAAAATCTGGGGGATTTGGGGCTTAGGGTTTGAGCAGAATCGCTCCAGAGACGGTCATAAAAGGGGAATAAACAGTCCCCGACCATTACTTAGGGAAAAAACCGTACCTGGGTTGTACTTGAAGGGAGTTAGCGCGATTCCAGCAAGTTACCATCATCTCCGTGTACGGATATGGGAATGAAAAGACGAAAACAAGGGGAAAGCGAGAGCGGGATCAAGGACGAGAAGAGAGAATAAAAGGAAAAGGGAAGATATGAGGAGGAACGAAAGGAGAATGATCCAAGGGGGGGGAGCAGAGAAGGGAAAGAGAAGAAAGAAAAGAGAATAGAAAGAAAGTGAAGGAAAATAGAACGAAAGTATAAAGGAAAATGGAAAGAAAGTGAAGGAAACAAGCAAGAAAACCAGCGAAACAAGGAAGAAACGGAAGAGAGAACGAAAGAAGGGGAGCTATAAAAAATGGGAGATGAAGTACGTACGTTAACCATGATAGTCTTGCGGCCCGCCTGGCGAAGCGTCCGGATGGCCCTGACCGAGCACCAGTCGAACTCCACAGAGGAACCGATGCGGTACACGCCCGAACCCAGCACCATGACGCCGTGGTCGTCAAAGGTGATGTCGTGCTCGCTGGCGCTGTAGGTGAGGTAGAGGTAGTTGGTGTAGGCCGGGAACTCGGCGGCGACAGTGTCGATCTGCTTTACGAAGGGCGTGATGCCGGCCTCGAGACGCATGCCACGCACGGCGAGCTCGGTGGAACCCCAGAACTTGGCAATTTGGCGATCGCAGAAGCCCAGCTGCTTGGCCTGGAGGAGCATGCCAGGCCGAAGGGTGCCACCACTAGCCTTAAGGTCCTTCATCTTTTTGGCGAAGTCGTTCAGGCCCTTCAGCCGGTCGAGGAACCATTTGTCGATCTTGGTCAGCTCCCAGATCCTCTCGACCGAATAGCCAGCGGCCATAGCGTTGGCGATGGCAAAGAGGCGCTGGTCAGAGGGGGTCTGGAGCTCATCGTCGATCGACATGAGCGCCGGCGTCTCGTTGAAGCCAAGGTTGTGGTAGTCAATAGCTCGAATCGCCTTCTGTATGGCCTCTTCAAACGTCCTGCCGATACTCATGACCTCGCCGACACTCTTCATGGACGAACCAAGCTGGGTAGAGACGCGGGTGAACTTCTTGAGGTCCCAGCGAGGCATCTTGACCACGACATAATCGAGCGAAGGTTCGAAGCAAGCGCAGGTCACCTTGGTGACGGTATTCTTGATCTCCTTGAGCGGAATACCGAGGCCCAGCTTGGCGGCAATGAAGGCCAGGGGGTAGCCAGTGGCTTTAGAGGCCAGAGCCGAAGACCGTGATAGTCTGGCGTTGACCTCGATGATGCAGTATTCCTTGGAGAATGGGTTCAGGGCATACTGAATGTTGCACTCGCCGACGACTCCGAGGTGGCGGATGACATTGACGGCAGTCGTACGAAGCATGTTGTAGTCCTCATCTGAGAGAGTTTGAGAGGGAGCGACAACAATCGAGTCGCCCGTGTGGATGCCGAGAGGGTCAAAATTCTCCATGTTGCAGACTGTGATGCAGTTGTCCTGGCAATCCCTCACGACTTCGTACTCAATCTCCTTCCAGCCCTTCATGCTGCGCTCAATCAGAACCTGCGGGCTGGCAGCAAAGGCCTTGTTGCAGAGATCGAGGAGCTCGCGTTCGTTGTTGGCGAAACCACTGCCGAGACCACCAAGGGCATACGCGGCACGAACAATGACAGGGAAGCCGATGTCCTTGACGACCCTGAGAGCCTCCTCGACGTTGTTGGCCGAGGCCGACTTGGCGCACTTCTCACCGATCGACTCCATGCTTCGGGCGAAGAGCTCACGGTCCTCGGTCGTGATGATCGTATCAATCGGTGTACCAAGGACCTTGACACCAAGCTTCTCAAACTCGTCCTTAAGCTGGATGCCCACCGACAGGGCGGTCTGACCGCCAAAGGTGCAGTAGATCGCGTCGGGCTTCTCATAGACGATGACCTTGCGCACAAACTCGGCATTGACAGGCAGGAAGTAGACCTTGTCGGCGAGACCTTTGGAGGTTTGGATGGTGGCAATGTTGGGGTTGATGAGGACGGTGTAAATGCCTTCCTCCTTGAGAGCCTTGATCGCCTGACTGCCCGAGTAATCAAACTCGCCAGCCTGACCAATGCTGAGGCCACCGCTGCCGAGGACGAGCACCTTCTTGACCGAGACGCGGGGATGCAGCCTGTTGTTCTCTTCGACGGTGCCGCCGGGGAAGTGGACGGGCTTTTGCAGCAGGCTGCTGTCGGCTGCGCAGTCCGCGACAGTCTGGATGAAGACATCGAACAGGAACTCGGTGTCCCTGGGGCCTGGGGTGCTTTCCGGGTGGAACTGGACGCTGAAGTGGGGCTTGTCGACGTGCAGGATACCCTCGTTGCTGCCATCGTTGGCGTTTACGAACAGCTCCTGCCACCCAGTGGGGAGAGTCCCAGCATCGACGGCATAACCGTGGTTCTGAGAAGTGATGTGGCATTTGCCCGTGACCATGCTGGTGCAGGGGATGTTGTGCCCACGGTTACCAAACTTGAGCTTGACCGTCTTGGCTCCCGCAGCACGGGCGAGCAGCTGGTGGCCCAAGCAGATACCGAAAATGGGGGTGCGGTTCTCCGACAGAGCCGCGGCAATGCGCTTGACTGTGGGTTCCATGATGGCCGGGTCACCGGGACCGTTGGAGATGAACAGACCATCGTAAGTTTCAGTGCGGAAGTCATAATCCCAAGGGCAGACCAGGACCTCGACGCCGCGCTTGAGGAAGCACCTCAGCTGGTTGTATTTCATACCAACGTCAAGACAGAGAATGCGGAGAGGCCGGCCTGAGGGGTGCTTCAGGGCGGATGCCTCGGGCGGTCGGTAGAGCTTAGGGGACTTGATGGAGACTGGGCATGGAGAATTAGCATGTGGGTAGGTTCCGGGACTCTCGACAGCCTCCTCACTCACCCTCTGCTACGAGGTTCTTCTCATTTGGGTTCACCCAGTCGACAGACTCGAAGAAAGGCTTCCAATCACCCATCTTGCCGGGGAGGGCAAACCCTTCAGCGTCGCCATTGACCCCGTTAGCCAGGTCCTTCTTCTCCAGAAGCATGCGGCCAAGCATGCTGCCCTTTTGCCGGATGCGCTTGGTCAGAGCGCGGGTGTCGACGCCGTACATGGCCGGGATGCCTTGCTCCTTGAGCCATGTGCCGAGGGACGAGGTGGCGAGGAAGTGCGAGTAGTCCTCGCCGGCGTATGTGGCCGTCACGAGACCGGCGATGTGAATTTGTGACGACTCGAAATGGGAGGGGAGGTCGCCGAGGAGCTCGTCGAGAGCCTCTCTCGAGGGCACGCCGTAGTTGCCGACAAGGGGAAAAGTGATGACGAGGATCTGGCCGCGGTACGAGGGGTCCGTGATGGACTCGGGGTAGCCCACCATACCCGTCTGGAAGACCAGCTCGCCAGCGATGCTCTTGGGCGCGCCGAAGCTGTAGCCCTGGTAGGCCGAGCCGTCCTCGAGCTCAAGGGTCACCAGCCCATGAGACTCGGCTTTGGCGGTGGGCGCCGTGGCAGGACGCAAGAGTGTGCCAGCCATTGTGAGTCAAGGTTTGGTAGGAGTGGGAATATTATATGGGAGGGACAGATTAAAGAAAAAAAGAAGGTGAGAGCGAGAGAGGACCAGACAGTCGATGTCGCGTGAGGAGGGTTCTGGGTATGACGAAGCTGCAAGACCCGGAACAGAGGATCTTTCGATGGGCGGCTGCCGCAGCACTCGACTTAGTGGATGATGCCAGAAGAGAGAGTAAGAGATCCCTTTTCACCAACGAAATGTCATGATCCAGCTTGGCCAGCCCTTCTGCATGGACAGGAAGGGAATAGAAACAAAGGAGGTAAAAGCCGGCGAGCTCAAGATTTTGTATCAAGCCCGACTCTTCAAAAAGGTTGCCCCGCCACACGGCAAACGAGTCTCCCCCACCAAACTTTTTCCAGGGCGGTGATGAGCTAGCGCGGGGTTCCCGGCAGGGGAGAATGGAAATTGAGACAATTCACTGGGCAGGAGGTTACCGAGTCCGGCCAGCCTTTGCGAGACTGGCCAATCAATGCGCTGTGACACGCTCGGGTGGAGCTGTTCGCATCGGTTTGTCGATGACAGCGGGCAGGGTTCATGCGCCAACAAGGTCCGATTTGGTGACCGCCTTACATGGGGAATTTTTTTTCTCAACTCCATCATCCTCCACACCCACAATTCCAGTGTCGACATTCTTGATTCAGCCTCTCATTCTTCCATCTCTTCCCATACGAAAGGGGACCAACGAGCTTCTGAAAAAAATCAATTTTCCCTTTTTAATGAATCCAATATCGCCTGACACGAAATAAATGAAGTAACTGAAAAAGCTTCTGCTCATCCCTTCAGCTGTTTCGACCAAGCCAGGGGTCGAACCTGGAACCTCCTGATTACTGTACTTATATAGTCGTAGTCAGACGCTCTGCCATTGAGCCACTCGGCCGTATGTGACTGTTAGAACAAAGTTCGGGGGTATGGATTGAAGAACATTCGTCCCATCGGCAGAGCTGGAAACCCTTTGAATTCTGAGCGAGCCGCTGTGTGGGGTTCAGAGCCAAGGCCTGGGAATCAGCATGGATTACCTGTGAACCTGGTTGGCAACAAGGTCGATTGAGATGAGGATGGCTACTTCAGACCGGTAGCGTTTTGCCAAGATGCAGACTACCAATCAATCAACAGGCCGCATCACAGCCAGAAATCCAGCGGCAGCCGCAACTTTACACTACACAGGAAGCCGTAGCTCGCATCAACACCGTGACCATGCAGAGCCGCTCTTTTCCACAGAGCCAGAGCATGCTGGTTGAATCGCATCGCCCGCCATCACACTAGGAGGAGGGCATGTCGGTATCACCAACCGGAGCAGCCGAGTAACCATTGCTGAGCCGCGCATTTAATCTTATGCTAGACGGTCTTTATTCCAACGGCGACTGACGATAACACTATAAAATCATCACCGCCTTTGTAAATAGTGTGTAAAATAGCTTCAATTGACATCTCTTCTCCCGTTTTTAACTACCTTTATATGCTACTGCTAGAGGCTGAAAATCGACTGGGTGTGTACTGTGGTAGTAGGCGACTTTGCTACCTGGTAACAAGATTCATTTGCACGGCCGGGGCGTCCTGGCCGAAGTCTCTTGATTGCCAGTGATTGGTACTCAGCATCTTGGCGAAACGCTACCGGTCCGGGAATAGCCATCCTCGACTGAGATTCTCCGGTGTTTATCTCAACCCTGGTTACAAATCTGCGAGAAGGTCTTCAAGCTCTGATATTCCGCATCATAAGAATCCCATTTCCTTTTTTTCCCCTTTCCCTTTTGTCTTTTTCGCAAGATATTCGTCGATACTTCTCCCCAGCCGAGTATGTCGCTTAGGCGATGCACCTCCTCAAGATCACCGGAGAACGGGATGCGACCTCTGCTTTCAAACAACAGTGGTGGGTCACTTGTCGCTTGTCAATGTTTCTCCTGTTCAGGCCACCAACACTTCGTAAATTCCTGAGCTTCGTCATCCGACATCAAGTTTGAAGTTTGGACTGCCTCCATGGCAATATGTACAGCTAGGATCCCAACCGGATGATGCATATCTCGAACGTCGCATGGGATGGGTAGCGGTACAGGTACGATAGCGTTGCACTTGAGCGGCGTGGGGGACGTAGCAACTCCGAGTATCACTTGATCCGACCATACATATCTTTCAGCGATCTGGGGCTCCAAAGAATCTTCTCTAGCACTGCAGTTCCCGCAAACCTACCTACTCTTCTTCTACCTTCTCTCTCTCGATACATATCTGGTCAACGGACTCTATGGAGGGTCGGCATGCCGGGTGATAGGCGAGGGCTCGCATATCTGCACGACTTGCAGGAGGTGTAACCCGGGCTTACCCCGAACGAGACGGGATCCTGCAGGCTCACCGTCCACCGAAGTTACCAAGTTGCAGTCATGGGGTCACCGCAGAGGATGCATGTTCCAGGTTTGGCCAGATGTTGATCCCATGTCAGCCAAGCAAGGAGCATGTGTCGTCGATGCATCGCGACAATTGCGACATGCCGTGTTCCGACTGGAGACGCTAACCAAAGCGGAGTCGCTAAATCTTGACACACCCTGCTCGCAACGTAGGCTCCTCACTAGCATCTCTTGGCACCACCCACTCCAACCAACCCCGCGATTCGTCGCGAGGTCTGTGGTGCAACAGCTGCCTCGACGCTCCTTATTCGCCAGGAGCCACCTACCGTACGAATACAAGAGGCAAGCTTTAAGGTAGCGGTGTGGCCTCTGAGGAGCGTGCGCTTCGAGTGTGACCGAAAAGCCCCAACAATCTTTCTGATTTCGATGGTGTTTTATCACTCCAACAAGAGTTGGGAGGTGGGTGGTTTAGCGCTGTGCAGGGATCCCCAGCTGACCCTCCCTCCTCCTGACCCCTGCGGCGTCTCGGTGATCTCGGTTGATCGGTCGAGACGGCGGCCCATATTACCTCCGGTCCTCCTCCGTACCACCTAAGCTTTCGCTGTCTCAACTTCCTTCGCGCTCCACGCGCTTGCTTCTCTTTCTCACGGGGAGGGCTCTTGACGGAGAGGGTTGGAAGAAGGGATATCAGGGGTATATGCCATATCAGGCCATTTCTTGCTCCTGCTAGACGGAGGTTGTCTTGTGGGCCTTGGTTGCATGTGAGAAAGGGACTCGGAGAGGAATACACGCGTTGCGCGACGTCCATCTGCCATTGACGCTTCCGAAGCACCTATCCGAAACACAGCAGCTGCATCGACACTTCCCATGGCATCCAGACGCCCTTACTGACGCGCCAGGGCACGCTTTCGCCCCGTCAGACCATGTTGTCTGCCCTACTGCGACCCTTCCAGGGTAGTCGTCAAGCCGATGACCATGCGGACCTCGAGCACGACATAGCATTCCGCCCCTCAGTTGCCGAATACCGCAGCCATCTTCATGCCACCGCGGATTTTACCGAGGCTGATGACGACGAGGAGGAGTCCAACGATGGCGAGCAGTCCCGCTACCCCCTCGCGGGCCGCCCTGACGAGGACGAGGATGGCATGGCTCGATCTACCGGGCTCCTGCCTCGCTTTTCGGCCGGTCACCTAGGTACACTCCCTTTTCTATTCGCTGTTGACCGTGGGAGAGGTCGAAGAAGCTCACTGTCTCGCTGACTGTCGGATTTTGCAGACTCGCTACCCATATACAACATGACCCACGCAATCCGCGCCATTGTCCAAGCCAGGACTGAGACCACCCTGACCTGGGACCAACTGAGGTCCCCCCAGGTCTCGCAGTTCCTGGTCAAGCCCATGTTTCAGCAGATCCGCGCCCACCACTTCTCCCCGGGTACTCTTTTTGCTTTGATGGCAAACTGCCTACAGTTTGAGAAGGAAGGCCAACTGTACCCAGCAAGTGCCGGCACAAGTGCGACCATGGCAAGGGTGTGCGAGTTGTTGGCTATCAAGATGCTCAGGGAGTACAGGACTAGAGAGCTGATCGATGCGCTTTGCCACGACTTCTACCCACTCCAAGGCGTTGCGGGATCACAGACACCTCTCGCCGCAAGGGTAGGCGGCCCAAAGCCGGCCTTTCCGAGGACTTCGACCCTCGAAGTTGCCATTCGCGCCTCTGCCAAGCACTTCGTGTCCCATCCTCTTGTTGTGCAGCAGCTCGAGGCGATCTGGAACGGCGCCATCAGCTTTTCGCCGCCTACCGAGGTATTTCAGCCCCAGGGTTCTGCGTCAAGCATCGCCTCGAGCAACCCATCTCGGCGCCACAGTACGGTTCGCTCCCCTTTACTGGGTGACCGGCGAGCTAAAGAGAGCCCTGTTGGGCTCCCATCATCCTTCGTCGGCCGCCGTCCTGTGACATTGTACAACCCGAGGACTGCTTCCCTATTCAGCCTGTCCCGGCTCCGAGTCCCCCGTTACCGGCAGTTTTTCTCGACAGGCTCCCTAGCTGTCTTGATCTGCCTGTTTCTAGCGGTCCTAAGCCAAAGGTCGAGCAAGATCACGAGCTTGGAGCTGCTCTTTTGGTTCTGGAGCGCCGGCTTTATGCTCGATGAGCTGGTCGGCTTCAACGAGCAGGGTCTCTCATTCTACGTCATGAGCTTTTGGAATATTTTCGACCTCGGCATCCTTCTGCTCTTGATCATTTACTACTGCATGCGCATCTATGGCGTGTTCCTCGTTGATTCTCACAAATGGAACCAGAACGCTTATGATGTCCTCGCCGTCAACGCCATACTCTTGCTGCCAAGGATCTTCGGCGTGCTAGACCACTCCCGCTACTTCTCTCAGCTGCTGATAGCTCTGCGATTGCTGGCAATCGACCTGGCCGCTGTCTCGGTCCTTATATTCATCTGCTGCAGCGGATTCTTTGTGTTCTTCGCCTTTTCTAAGCCCGCCGATAATACCTCGGCGCTGGGTTACAAGATGTTTCAGATCCTTATGGGCTACACCCCGTCTGCTTGGGAGTTGTAAGTGGAACCGTGCACGACGGAGACGTAAGGCGACTGACCGACCACTCTTTTCTTTAGGTGGCCATCCTACAACTGGTTGGGCAAGACCCTCTTGGGCCTATTCCTTGTTATCAGCCACTTCATAATTCTGTAAGCTACATATTCGTGACCTAGCCCTTGAGAACAATACGGCTGACTCATACCAGAACGATGCTCGTCATTATCTTGAGCAACTCCTTCATGTCTCTCACTTCAAAGGCGAGCCAGGAGTACCAGTGAGTCCTCAACACCATCGCTAGTTGTCCAGGGCTGACCATTGCCAGCTTCACATTTGCCATCACTACCATATCCATGGCCAAGAGTGACGCCCTTTTTGCCTACGCTGCGCCGGGCAATCTCTTCGCATGGGCTCTCATGCCCCTGAGATACTGCATGCCGATAAACCGGTTCGTGCAGCTCAACCGTGCAGTCCTGAGGGCGACGCATTTTCCGCTGCTTTTCTGCATCTATTTGTACGAGAAATATCTCCTGTCGCCTGGCATGTTCGAGGCGACGGACCTGGTAGACAAACTGCCCAACGCTCGCTTCCATTCGTCTTCGGACCCGGCAACTATGTCGGCCTTTTTCAGCCCCAGCATCCGAGTGCGTCAAGAATCCGTGGTGGGCTTCCACAAGGATCGCGCTCTAGAAGAAGTCTTCCGGCGCGCCCCTGACACGAGGCCGCAAAGACGTCATGAGCGGAGGAAAACACAAACTGCGATCCGGACGTGGATGGACCAGCACGATGGAGCCTACACCTCGCCGCAGAACTATTCAACCATCAACAGCAGGATAGGCAGTGACTGGCTCAAGAGGTTGGAAATGAACCGCGAGAGGCCGTCGAGGTTTCCAAGGCACTACTCGGATATCCGATCCACGGCAAGCGATCCCGCCGACCTCAACCCAGATGCTGCTTGCCCGTTTCCAGTCGATACGTCCAACGACGGCATCGCGCGAAGAGATTACGCCTTTGAAGTGAAAGAACATACGGATGCCGAAGCGGACGGTGATGATGAACTGGTCACGAACGATGAGGACGAAGGGGACGACATGACAAACACTGTGGACGACCGCGGCGCAGCAGGGGACGAGGCTATCGAGGAGGACTACTTCACGACGCCCGTTGCCACTCGGTTCAACAGCGCAGACATCTCGGTCGAATCCCCACGCCCGCCCACGTCGCGCCGAGTGCCGCTACACAACCGGACCCTGTCTACCAACACGATACTGTACGCGCCAGAGGAAAGCCGCCCATACAGCTCCTCCTCGGCCTCGGCCTGGCCCGTCTCCCGCAACATTTCCTCGCGCCCCATCACCGCCCGCCATACCCCCGTCGCAACCCCTGCCACACCAGGCACCGGCCGCCGCTCCCCGCGGCGCTCCCTCTATCTTGCTTCCCGTCCGCGATCTATGATTGACCCCATGTCGTCCCGCACGGCAGTGCACACCCGCACCGGCGGGCTGACACTCGACATCCCCATTGGCACCTCCATTTCCCCCAACAGACCCCCCCTCCGCCGCCGCTCCCTGGCCGACCTCGCCGCGTCAGCAAACGCGGACGCGGCTGATAACAACAACAACACCAATACCCCGAGCAGCCTGCGCAGCATCGGCATCGACGATATCAGCATGCCCCGGCACCGCCACCACGGCCACAGCAGCAGGATGATGATGCTCGCGCGCATGAAGTCGCTGGAGGCCAGCCTGGGGGACATGGTGCGCGAGATGCGCACGCTGCGCATGTCGGTGCCGAATACGGCGCATAATTCTGACGGGGATGCGGCCGAGGTTGGGAGTGGCGGCAGTGGGAGTGGTGGTGCTGGTGGTAGTGCTGGCGTGCTAAATAGTATTAAACCGTCTTCGTCGTGGGACAACAGGCAGCACCGTCACACGCATACACATCATGGCGGGCAACAAGTGAGGATGCTGGCCGGGTCGGATCCGACTTCAGTTTCTGGCGGCACTGGGACTGGCGCCGGCGCTGCTGGTGGTGTTGCTTCGCGCGGGCAGGCTTTGATTGAGGTTGCTGTTGGGTATGGGAGGGAGAGGGAGAGGGAGAGGGAGGGAGGAGGTGGGGTGGGAACTAGGAGGATGCGGGGTGCTGTTGTTGCTGCGACTGCGAACACGGCTGCGTCGAGGAGAGGGGTATGGCCTGGGAGGAAGGGGGGAGCTTGGAGGAGTCCCAAGGCTGAGGGCGGCGGAGGCGGTACTGCCGACTTGGGGATTGGAGGGGGCAGTGGGTCCGGGGTTAAAGAGAAGGGAAAGGAGAGGGAAACTGTTGTTGGAGGCGGTGGTGGGGGTAGTTTGAGTACGGGACGCTCTCCTGACGATGGGGATGAATTGGAGGTTGCGGCGAGTGGGCTTTCGTTGTGAGATTTGAGGGGGTGGCGGCCGCTTGTTTGTTTACGGCGAGGGTGGGATTACTTGTATGTTCCTAGGACGGGTTCGCTTTCTGGTTTCAGGGTTGGTACGGGTTGCATTGGGCGGCGTTTTGAGCATTTCCCTTGCATTTCTGCTCTCGGTGTGTGCGGATATTGTGCGGAGGCATTCTGGTATACGGTTTCGAAGCATCGGAAGCTGCTAGACGTGACAGCTCGTTCTCCGGTCGTCATCTGGGATGGATTGGAGCTGGTTTTCTGCGTCAGGTGGTAATATCATTGGTTGCTTGGCTTGATGCTGTTTCGTGCGCCTGTGAAGGTTGTTTGCCGTTGTTTTGCTGGTGCAACTTCTATTGCCTATGACTTATAGGTAATGGCGCGAACGCAGAGACGGGCCCTGGTGCCCTTTTTTGTTGAGGTTTAGACCCCTGATGCGCTCTCATTTTAAGGTTGTCTCGGTTCAATCGTACAAGTATCCGGTGCCCTTGACCAGATTGCCTTTTCCCAAGCCAGTTTCGAAAAGGGATTGTACCATGATATCATCCAAGACACATCATTTCGTCCTTTTCCACCCCTTCCCTGCCTCTGTCCCTTGGGGCGGCCTCTTCTCATCACTCATTGCCCGACATACAACCCCGATGCAATTCGAAAAGTAGTGAAAGTGGATTTCTCTTCCCCGACTCCGCCATTCACCAAACACCAGCTAAGCCCTCTACTTTCTCCCTCCCTAAAGCCGGACAGACCCAAGCGAGACCTGAATGCAGACAACAGATTTCAAAGCCCCCCGCCGCTGCGGTCGACGGGGACGTACAGGCTCGTCTCGGGCCGGCTCTTTTGCCGCGCGTCGTTCTCGGCCATGTTCCTTGCGCCGCGCTGCAGGCCGAAGTATGCGGCTCCGAGTACTAGACCGGCCACAGTCAGGCGAGGGTGCCGCCTGGGGGACGTTAGCAGTTTTGTATCTGTTTGGTTGGACACCTGACATTTGTAATGGCTTGGGCGATGAGATGTGGATGTGATGAGGTAGTATGCTTATGTTTAGGTGGAGAGGAGATTGGATTTACTGGAGAAGCAGCTGAGATAGCATAGACGGGATGTATGCAAGGTACTTACGCGAAGACTCGGAGAGCAGACGAGGTGGAAGAAGGTAGAGCCGTGGTTGGGAGTGCGGTTGCGATTACGTTTTTCCGGCTGAAAAAGTGACGGAGTCGAAGAGATGGTGATCACTGCGTCGATGAAAGTCGTCTAAGCGGGAGAGATTGTGGGAGGCCAGGAACACTTGAAGAAATGGTTGAGCTGGAGCTGGATACCATAGGATGGCGGTGAAGGGGCAATTCGCGATCAGACTTCATCAATGCAGCACACTTCCATGTGTCTCTGACGAGGGCATCGAAGAAGCAGGATAGAGTATGTGGTTCGTGCGGCGAACGGGCATGAAAGCTCACACCTTGCTAGGGAGCGGATGTCAGGAGAATAGGCCATATACTCAGGACTCTAGCCAACCTCGGTTCATGGCGATGTTTTCCGATGCTCCTGGTTTCCCCCGAGATGGGTTGGGTGGAGATGCTACCAAACCTTAGCTGGGACCGGATCGGGTGGCACGCGACACACCTCGGATGCAAGGGGGGCTGGCCCCGACAAGCAGCCGGCCTCGCTCGGCTCTTTGGGTAACAAGAGACAGGGGTCATGACTTCAGTGGTTCCCGGTGGTTCCAAGGCCTAGAACGTCCTGATGCTTTCCCTCCTCTGGTGACGAACTCCGGGTTACAAACCCAGCCGACACAGATATCGGCGTATAGGGTGCCTTCCAACGGTAATATCATTTTTGACGTGTACCTTATTGTACCTTAGCAAATAATCGACTGGAACAAAGTGGACTCAATGGGAACAATGCCATTCATGCCCTTCATCGTTACGGGGGTGGGGCACGCCAAGGCTGAGAGCAGTTAGCGTGCATTGTCTGTGATTCTGTACCTCCAGTCGTCCATAACATCATCACATCATCCTGTCTAAGGTATCGGCCTCTCTGATGAGAATGAGAAGGATGGACCGAGAGCAGAGCGCAGGACGGGCTTGGGAGCCTTGATGTTCCCTAGCAGCTAGAACTGATCGACTTGGTACAATACCTTGTGGTGAAGCCGGAAGACAGAGGCTCATCAGGCTCGATGACGGGGACGTAATGCTGGGCCGAACGGGTACCATGGCGGCGCAGGACGTGAAGTCGGTAACCTGCTCTGTTGAGACTATACGACAGGCCCAGTGTGTAATCCAGAAACCTGACTATGGAAAGATTACACGGAGCCTGATAACCTCGGCGAAGTCCTGGGCGTAGGTTCTCTTAAATTTAACAGTACCGTAGTCCAGGTCAAAAAAAAATACTCCGACGAATTTGCTGCCGACAGCGGACGGACCACCAAAATAATGTCATTACAAACTATCCTGTTGACTACCGCTCTCAACACTGGGTTCAGGGGGACACCTCCCTGGCTCCCGTCGAGTTCGAGCTATAAACAGCCTGCATCATCATAAAGGCGAGGACGCCCAGTTGAAGGATACGCTTGGACGATCCTGCATCGCTTCATCATTCGACAAAGCAGCGCCTAGAGTCTGCAGACCTGGATTGCAACAAGTCAAATCCACAGGCCAACGAGGGCCTTTGCTATCGAACGCTGCCAGCAACAATCCAAAAGCGCAGGCTCGTCGCCGTGCAGCTATCGGGAGCAAGGCCGGCCAAAATTCTTGAGCTTATGTGTGCCTTTTATCTGGGGTCAGAAAGGCCTAACCTAAGTATCAAGGGCCGAACGAGAGTCAGGTACGGATACAGAGCCCTGGGTTGGCTAGGTTGTTGGGGATGATAGGAGGTTCACCGTCGGGCTCGATGCGACATGTTCACCCTATCCGCCGCGGTTGCAAGCCGGATTGGCTGCTTTATGGTTGGGCCCACTGTAAGTGGCTCAGATCAGAATGAATGTTGCCTGTCCAAGCTCAGCAATGTCAGGACTGTGCACTCTGCCGTGCGAAACTGTTGAGGACTCAGGAAATAAACATAACTTCAAGCCCTCTGGCTGATCTAACCTGGGGGCGCCTCAAACTGGCTTGTGAAACAAACCGCAGTTTCCGCACCAGTACGGCGACTCAAACATGGCGATGACATCAACGTATTTGGCGCTTGAGCCACGGTTTCAAAGGGGCTCGAGTGGGTCTCATGGCTCTCTGGAAGGAAGGTAGACATGAGGATGAAGAGCCCACGAGACATTACTATAGAAAATCATGATGTCCAAGGGTGTTGGCGCGTAAGGTGCACAACCATCCATTGTTTTATTCAGTTTCTTCAAGAACTCATGAACAAATAGTCGGAGCCACGTCAACTCCAGTACCGAGCGCAGTCACGTCCCTCCTCGACGGGCTGTTGCCTAAGCTCAGACACGATATCTCGGTGCTGTACATACGCAGCTGGCTGACTCTTTAAGCTGTGTCATTACTGAGGCGGCCGATTGATTGGGTCCCCCACTGTCACTCACTTCCAGAATCTCCAACCATTGGTCCGCCGTTGGAGCAGCAGCTCAGTGGCGCAGCGTAGGAGACGGGCATAGATGTATTGACAACCCCTCATGAGAGCTGTGAGCCTTCGACGGAGTGTCTCAGTGCTGCTATGAACAGCCATTAATGCTTCCCCTCTCATCTTGACACGATTTTGTTGTTGAACCATTGTCATGGAAGGGGTGCTATGATGACTTCCAACACAACAACACACAGAACCTGACACATCACATTCTCCTGGCGAGGCCCCCTACAAGGCTCTGGCCACGCTCCGGTTCTTAGACCATCTGCTGCTGGTCAACATCTTTCAATCCTGCTTTTCTCATTCCTCTAACTTACAAAGCTTTTCTGAGCTCACAGTCAGCCATCTCCTCCTCAGCCACCCCGACTTCTGTACAGTGCCACGCATCATCTCAACTACAGTTTCGCAACCCGGACCGGCTCGAACATGAGGCCCTCCCCTGTCTCCGCCATCTCGGGGTTTCCGTTCGGCCTGACGATCAATGGAAACCTCAACTCCGCCACGGCGAACGCTATCGACGTCCATCTGATGGAAATCGCCGCGATCAGAAACACCGCCGAGGTCGACAGCCAAGGCACTGTGCTCGCCGTTGTGACCTTCCCAAAAGACAACGGACTGAGTTGTGCTTGTGACGGGAAGCCGTGGCAGGATGTCCGCCTTCGCATGAGCTACGAGAAGCTCGCTAATCTTGTCTCGAAGAAGATTCAGGACATGTTCAGCCCAAGAGCCCAGAAGCGCTTCCGTAGACGCCTTGGCCTCGAGCATCAACTCCCTCCCGGCGTCGAATATGTACTCGACTTCACACCCCCATCCGAAGGCCCGGAACTGGCCGATCTCACCGCCGCGCTCTGGCTGCCTCGGGCGGTCAAGCTCTGGTTCCTGGCTGGCCATTACATCCCCTCGGCCGTTCTTGAAGCTGGCACCGGGCTCCCGACACGCCCTCTGGCCGACAAGGCTGTTGGCGCCATGCTGGTTCTCGGCCACGACGATATCTGCCAGGGCAGTGCATGTATGTATAGGCAGCGGTTCCTTACACCCTCCCCGCTGACCGCTGCTCTAGGCCTTTCAGATTATACCGCGTGGCAACCTAAGCCTGAAAACCCGGGCGTTGTTGAGGAACCCCCCTGCGGTCCGAGCCACATACCTACGTGGCGGAAGGTTGAGGACTACTGCCCGATCCGCCATCGCGTCGCCATTGTTCGTATCCTCAGGGCCATCAACGGCGAAGGTCTTCTTCTGAACTCGGCCGTGCGCATGTGGACCGTTGCACAGGTTGCCATCTCGCTGGAAATTCCTCAGGTTGTGGTGAGTTCTTAATCCCTTCCCGGGGTCCTTCTCCAGACAAGGTCGTTAACACAGCTCAGGTCGATCCCGTCACTCAGTGGCTCGTGGCGCCGCCCAACACAAAGTTCATTGAAGTCTGCCCGGAAAAGGCCTTCCAGCTGGCCTATGACCTCCGAATCCCGAGTGTGCTGATAGCTGCCTTCAGGATCCTCGTCAACGAGCTTGCCGTTGACTATGCATCGTCGGATCCCGTACCTGGTCGACCCCAGTTGACCTGGGCCCAGCGTCGCCGTGACGACTACGGCGACTATCCCTCCGACCCTGTCGAGTACGCCAGCCGTGAATTCGCAGAGCGCATGAACGGAAACCTCCAAATGCTGCAGTCTGACAATGTATTCGGCCGTCTCCCGGCCCCCAACCCTGAGTGGGAGAAGCTCTGCTACCTCGGCTCGCTCATCACTCGCCTTGACATATCTCACCCCCTGCACAGGGCCTACGGTAACCTGACAGCCGCCCTCCTCTTTGCCTTCCGCCAGTGGATCGACAAGGCCCTTGAGTTCGGCTCTTTCTCCAGTCGTGTGCAAGACCTCATCGAGGCCCAACGGAGCCACTACATACCTTCCTGGGAGCGTAAGCCGCTGATCAGCCTCTACTCGACTCTCAACCCCGCCCAAAAAGTTCTCACGCCGTTCTTCTGGTCCAGACTCAACATTATTGAGCATCGGGTCGAGTTCGGCGCCACATTCTACCGCAGCAACACCCTCGACCGCCATGTGGAGACCTTCAACACCGAGCTGCTCCGCGCCCTTGCAAACCACACCATCGTCCCCTCCGAGTCCCACCCCTCCCTCGCTCACCTCGAACCCCCCGTGCTCCAGAAGATCCAAATCCAGTTCGGCCTCCCCGAATTCCACCGCCTGCTCAGCCAGGGCCTTAACAGCCTCTGCGCCTCATTCCTCGCCACTCACACCTCCTTCGCCCGCGACGCTGACTCCGGCATCCCCTTCTTCCTGTCAGACCACCTCCTCCTGTGCCTCGACGAGTCAGAGCTCAACTACCTGCCCATCTGGGCCGGCGGGCTGGACGACGGATCCGGAGGCGTCTTCCAGCAGGCTATTCCCGAGACAGACATGGGTCCCTCAGAGCCCGGGCCGGGGTATCATACGGGGTACACCGCTGCGGGAGATACTACGGCGGGCGCGCCTACCGACGACGCTGATGTGGAGGAGGGCGACGGGACGACGGTTGTCACTAAGGATGGATATGGCCCCTCGACGATTTCCGCGCCGTCGGATCTGGGGTTCGGCGGACTGTCGCTGGGGAATGGCACGGCGGGGAGGAGTCTGGCGGTGCAGCAGAGCGGTGCCGGTACGGCTACTACGAGTGTCAGTGGGGTCACGCCGCGGTCGGAGGCATTTACGATGGACGCGGCAGAGGATGAGGGCATGTATGCTGACGCTAGGTATGCGCAGCCTGCTGCGCATCAGGCACAGGGAATGGCCATTGAGCAGTACGTGAACGAGGCTGAAATGGAGGTCGAGGCCGAGGCCGGAGATGGAGATTGGAACGGGGAGGTGCAAGGTGGCATGGAATTGAGCTTGAGTGGAGATGAGGAGATGGACTTTGGCTCGGATGACGATGGGGGCTCGACGCTGGATGAGTTCGAGGAGGTTGATGCTGACGAGGCGTGTTGATTCTTGTTTGTCTGGCTGGGCTTTGATCATGGAGTCACTTGGTACGGATCCCGGGGCAAAGAGGTGAAGAGGGAACGGGCGGATTGGGGGCGTTCGGTGCTCGACTGGGTTTTTTCTATGAGCCATCCTGCTGTTTCGGCTCCTCTGACTTTGTTACTCGTGTAGGGTGTTGCCTGGTGCTTCAATCATGGTTGAGATTACTACGTAGGAATAGCAAACAAGCGGCATCCATGGCAAGGAGCCCATGGCATTAACTGAAGCTAAAACGACAAAGCCAATTGAGCTGGAGGTACAAACATAGGTACAGGCCCTGTCCAGTTTTTCATGACCAGCATAAGCATAATCACAGTTCTCATTTGAGTCGGTCTATACTACGCGTTGCACACTAGCCCCTATTCAAGGTATTTCCGCTCCCTTTGGGATTCGCCTCGACAAACTCATCCCATGCCCGCGCCTTCATCGTCTCCTCATCCGCCTTCTCAATGTCATCCTCATCCGGTTCCGGCCGATGCCAGCTCGCCTCGCCACCGCCCTCGATGATTCCGCCCCGCCGCCGCTCCTCCTCCAGGTACTCGTCGATTGTCATGGTTGGCAGGTTGTGTCCAGGTCTAAACACACCCCTGGCCAGCTCCTGCCGGTTATTCAGGAGCGTAAACGGCTGCAGCGGCTTTCCCTCTTTTGACAGCAGCGGTCCCCCGGGCAGCCCCTGCGACGCGCGCAGCGGCCGGTCCAACCGCTCGCTGTAGTCGGGCTTCTTAGTGTCGCCCAACCCACCGTACCTCTGGCGTCGGCGCGTATCTTCCTCTTCCCATACATTGAGCCCGCCGCGCAAGCTTGGGTTGGGGGGTGCCAGCGCGAGGATCTCGCACTCTCGATTGAGACCGTCGAGAGCCTGGAAGGCTATGTGCGTGCTGTATTGGAGATTGGCGAGGTGCACCTCACGGACGGCAGCTTCGTCCCCGCCACCGGTGGTGCCTCCTTTATGGTCGTCCTCGGTTCCATAGTCTGGGCGACGGCGGAGAAACTCGAGCTTGGCGCGAAGCTCCTTCTCGGTTTTGAGATTGGCGATCTTGGCATCCCGGCGAGCGGCTGGGTTCGAGGTGGGTACGGTGCTAAAGGCGGTGGGCGCCTCGGTGTACTGTTTGAAGAGTTTCTGGTGGGCGGTTTGAAGGAGACCGTAGTTGTCGAGGAGGTGTAGGTAGCGCTCGTAGGCCTCACGGGCAGATGCAAGTAGGCTCTTGCGTTCCTGGACGTGTTCTTGGGGTGACGGAGAAGAAAGTTTCTGGGTGAGTTCGGCGAGATGAAAGTTCGTAAGGAGGAATGGGAGGTCTGTGGTCGACAGGTCCTCAAGCGACTCGTTCGGGCTGAAGAGGGAGAGGGCATCGATCAAACTGAGACACTCTTGGTACAGTTTCACAGCCGAGGACACCGTGGCTTGGTATTCTGGAGAGTTTTGGGGCAACTGTGAGCCATCGAGGGCGAGGCGCTTGGCTTCGGCATCCGCGAAGACGGCTTTGAGGGAGCGAGGTTCGTCGCCCATGGTGTTTTTGTCTGTCGGTGAAATTGGCTTGGGAACGGTGGGTAAGGCTGTGAACTATCAATGGTCAGGCTGATTCTGTGGTTTGGGAGACGAAAAGGAAGATGGAGGACGCCTGTGGAGGTGTGGTTCTGAATACAGCCAAACCCTGTGACCACTGTTCTTCCACAACAGGCGCTCAGACGTCTGAAAATGGATGGGAAGGAAAATGACAAAGCTCCCTCTGTTCGAAGAGAACAGTGCACTATCTCAGCACTTTAAGCCAAGAACCACTGAGTACCAGCATCTCCGCCTTCGTTATCCCATCACACCCTGGCTGTTACGGGGTTCTGAAGATTACATCGTGTGGTGCTCACTGATATCGAGAAGGAAGACAGACTCAAGACATAGAGGAAAGAGCAAAGATTGAAATAAGAAAGTAAAAGAAGGAGACTAGCAAACAAACGAACCAGGGTTGGACTGTACCTGGAGATGGAAGTAATGTGGCTGAAAGGCTTGCTTGGCTTGGTGGACTGATCAGGGAAACAGGAGCCGGAAACTCGTGAACAAGTGTTCTCGAATACTGCCCGATTCCTGGGCCGCTGATCTTTCCAACAAATGGCGCTCAGATGTCTGAAGTGAGATGGAAAAGGAACAGTGCGCTAACTTAAGCTTCGGCCAAGCGCTAGGACTGTCATCTCCGTCTTCTTCACCTATGACGATCTGATATAGAACCTGGAAGATCAGATCGTATGTGGGGTGGGTGTGCGGGGCACTTGCGGTTAGATTTCACATGTTAAGAAGCCACATCAGGTACCCTATGCCATAACTTGCCTGGTCCAACCCAAAGGTCAGATGTGTTGCCTTTGGGTCAATTTTTGTTAATCACAGCGTTAACCGAGAAACACGCCGTTCATACCAAGCCAACCATCACTACCTTACTGTGTACTACCAAAGCTTGCTGATACCTGTGGATATTAAGGTCAAGTACCTTACCTCCGGGTAACGGGTTCAAGCAGTGGGGCCCATCCGTTACTGGAGTGGGTCGCAGGCTTATTCCGTCCGTATTGCAGTTACTGCGAAATGTTTCCGTAGCATCTCGTCTGATTCATGAAGACTCACCCCCGCTGTTTGCTCTTACGCACTGCAGTCAACCGAGCGTCCCGGCCCCTGTGCTCAAGCATAATGGCGCTTCACCCAGCCCAAGACGGCGCCAAGCTGATCTGTAGGTATCTCTTCAGGTCGTCACTCGTCATCAGAACCTGGACACTCACCTCAACCCAGTTGCCCCCGCTGGCTCATCCCGCTCCCTTGAGATCCCAACCGGCCCCGGGCAAGCAGAGCAGTTCCTGAAAACGGAGCACCGCGGCGGTCTGAAGCGGAGTGACTTGAACCCGGACGAACCCATCGCCCAGTTCCACGACTGGTTCCGCGAGGCGTCCCAGCCCGGGACCGGGGTGCTGCACCCGGAGACATGCACCCTGTCCACGGCGCAACTGCCATCTGGCCGCGTGTCAGCGCGCATGGTGTACTTGAAGGAGCTCGATGCGAAGGGCTTCGTCATCTACAGCAATTTCGGCACCAGCGGGAAGGCGAGGGATCTGTTTGGGACCGCCGACGGGTCGAGTACGGGGAACCGCTGGGCGTCGTTGGTCTTTTGGTGGGAGCCGCTGGAGAGACAAGTCCGTGTAGAGGGGAGGGCTGAAAGGCTCTTGGCGGCGGAGAGCCAGGCGTACTATGACACGAGGGTAAGAGGCAGCCGGATCGGGGCGTGGTCGAGTCGGCAGAGCGCTGTGCTGCAGCCGGATCCCAATGTGGAGGGCGACGACGGCCGTGCCAAGCTGGACAAGTGGGTTAAGGAGACAGAAGAGAAATTCGAGGGTGTCGAGAAGATCCCAGTGCCAGAGTTCTGGGGCGGCCTGAGAATCGTGCCGGAGCGAGTCGAGTTCTGGCAGGGGCGGCAGAACCGGTTACACGACCGATTTGTCTATGACCGTGTCCGGGGCGAAGATGGCCAGGACAAGTGGACGTTAGAGAGATTAAGTCCGTGAATAGGTGCCGAGCTCGAGGGTAAACTTCAACACCATCATCAAATTTGGGCAACGCTTGGCGGAACCAGCTGGCCATATGACTTCAGACTGGGAATAGTGAGTTCCATTCAATCGTTGAAAGCGACTTGTTTCTGCCCTCGCTGCTTCTCATTCCCCAAGAATTTCAGGAAACCGCAGTGGTTTTCAGCATAACAAACTTTCTGCAAGCGGGCATCACAGTCTCTGAAACGCATGAGGACTTGAAGGCGCCGCCTTCAAGCTGTCATTTATTTTCTGACACATCAGAGAATTACTCACCTTAGAATCGCCAAAAGACTGCAGCCACCCATGTACCAGCCTGTCTTGACCCAAAACACTCAACTGGTGGCCGAACTCAGCCCAACCTCTCAAACTTGGCGAGGTTGGCCTTAAGTTGCCCATCTCCACGCACCTTTCCTCACGCAATCGCGTTCACATCCATAACTTCATCCTGACCCAAGCGCCAAGGCATAGCAGATAGTGGGAGAAGTCCATTGAGCAAACTGTTTGCTCTGACCGATACTTTCACCTTCACACCCTCACGACATCCCCGGCAGCGCAACGCAACGCAACGATGGATGTCGAACTGGAAGGCGTCCCTTCGGCGCCGGTGTCATCGCAGCCAGCATCGGTCGAGGATGACCTGATGGACATTGATGAACTGATAGCGGGCGACTCGCTTGGCATCCCTGCAAACGCTCAGGATGAAGACGATATGGCTAACGGCGCCGACTCGGACAAAGAAGACAACGACGGCACCAAGCAATGGGTCGTCAACGCTCCGCCTAATCCGCGCAAGATCTCGGAGAGGAAGCGAGCTGATAACGCCGCATTTGATGCGTGGATCGAGGAGAACCAGCAGAATCTCGCAAAGGGCTTGGACAAGTTCATTGTCGACGACGACGACAAGACCTTCCAATCGCTGACCAGGGACTTTGAGAACAAGCGCATCATCACGAACCCGCGCGACTACCAGCTCGAGCTTTTTGAGCTGGCCAAGACGCAAAACACCATTGCCGTGCTCGATACAGGTAAGACGGCCATGGGTGGTTTTGCTACTTCACGGAGAATCATAGCTGACATTGGCCACAGGCTCCGGCAAGACTCTGATTGCAGCCCTGCTGTTGGGATGGACCATCCAGAATGAACTAGAGGACAGGTCCAAGGGACTCCCCAAGCGCACCGCTTTCTTCCTCGTCGACAAGGTTGCTCTCGTGTTCCAGCAATATGCCGTGCTGGCCTGCAACTTGGACTACCCCGTCGAGAAACTCTGCGGCGACATGATCGAGGACGTCTCGACGGACAAAGACTTCTGGGAGAAGATGACGAGCGAAAACATGGCCATCGTCTGCACTGCCGCTATCCTCAACCAATGCCTCCATCATTCCTTCATCCGGATGGACCAGATCAACCTCTTGGTGTTTGATGAGGCCCACCACACCAAGAAGAACCACCCGTATGCCCGCATCATCAAGGATTTCTACGTTGAGGTGGAGGACGAGGAGAGGAGGCCGCGCATCCTTGGAATGACGGCTTCTCCCGCCGATGCTCAGATTGACCCCAAAATCGCCGCTGCCGAGCTCGAAGCCTTGCTTCATAGCCAGATCGCCACAGTTGCTGACCCGGCCGCTATGCAACACACCTCAGCCAAGTTGAAGCGAGAGGTGTTGGTAGAGTATGACAGGAGTGGGCCAGACTGGGAGACGGAGCTTAACCAGGCGCTGAGGGAGCTGGTGGGCAACAACAGCGTGTTCAGGAAGCCGTTCGCCTTCGCTGCGACCACGGCCGCCGAGCTTGGTCCATGGTGCGCCGACCGTTACTGGCAACTCTTCTTCAGGGGAGATGAGGTTGTGAGACTGGAGGCCCGGACCGAGCGAAAGCTCCTGCGCGAGTCGGCCTACTGCCCGGACATGGGCGAGCATACCAGCAAAGTCCAGGCAGCACACAGGCTGGTGAAGGAGTACGGCTTTTCTAGACCCAGTCTCAGCCGCGACCTTCTGTCACCTAAGGTCATACTGCTTTACAATATCCTTCGGGACCAGTTCAGCGGCGTCGACCGTAACCGCCGGTGCATTGTCTTTGTCAAGCAGAGAAATGTTGCGTCGCTACTTGTTGACCTGCTGCAGCAACCAGAGATGAAGATCCCTGGTCTTGAACCTGGCGTGCTGGTAAGTTGCCTAAGCTATGGGCAGTGAACTGCGCATGCTAATAGAGGACAGGTCGGCGGCGGCCGTCGCGAGGCTGGCTGGGACAACACCAAGGTGACATACCGTGAGCAGGTCTTGACCATCATCAAGTTCAAAAAGGGCGAGCTCAACTGCGTCTTCGCGACATCTGTTGCCGAGGAGGGGCTCGACATCCCAAACTGCAACGTCATCATCCGATACGATCTTAACAACACTCTGATCCAATACATCCAGTCTCGCGGGAGAGCCCGCCAGGAAGGCTCGATCTACATTCACATGGTCGAGAAGGGCAACGCCAGTCATTTCGACAAGCTGAAACAGAACCAGCGCAACGAAGATGCCCTGCGCAAGTTCTGCGAGGCCATGCCCGACGACAGAAAGCTGACGGGCAACAACTTCAACATGGATTATTTCCTTCGAAATGAGAAAGACCAGCGGCAGTATACAGTTCCAGAGACTGGGGCCAAGCTCAACTACAAGCAGAGCCTGCTATGCGTGGCCGCCTTCGTGGCCTCGCTCCCGCACCCGCCCGAGGTCAATTTGACGCCCAACTATATGATTTGCCATGTCCCCGGAGGCTTCCAGTGCGAGGTCATATTACCGGACTTGTCTCCCATCAAGAATGCCATAGGGCAGGTCCACTCCAGCAAGGCTGTGGCCAAGTGCTCGGCTGCTTTCGAGATGTGCCTCCAGCTGATCAAGGGGAAGTATCTTGACCAGCATCTGCGGCCCGTCTTCACGAAGCAGCTCCCAGCCATGCGCAACGCCCGGCTCGCTGTCGGTTCCAAGAAGAAGGCACACTACGATATGCGCATCAAGCCCGAGATTTGGTCCGTCTTAGGAGAGCCCTCGGAGCTCTACATCATGGCCTTGACCCTGGAGAACCCGGCCGCGCTTGGCCGGCCATCTACACCTCTTCTTCTCATGACCCGTCAGCCGATTGGACAGGTTGCGTCATTTCCGCTCTACTTCGGCGCCGATCGTTCGTCGGCAGTCAATTGCATTCCAGTTCCTGGATGCGTCAAACCGGACGACACTCGCATCCAAGGCTTGACCGCCTTCACCTTGACTGTGTTCAAGGATATCTTCAGCAAGGAATATGAAGCCACGGCAGCCCAACTCCCCTATTTCCTTGCCCCAACGCAGATGGAACACGCCTCGGACTTTGACTCGGTCTCTGATCCGGCGCAGGTCATCAACTGGCCCGCGGTGATGTTCGTCCAGCAGAACGAGCGCATCGCGTACACCTTTAACGAACCGGATGACTTCTTCAAAGATAAATATGTTGCCGACCCGTACAATGGCTCACGGAAGTTCTTCCTACTTCGCCGGCGTCACGACATAAAGCCCACAGACCCTGTACCAGATGGCATCGTGACCCCTGGCCATCGCGCCTGGCGCGTAAATTGCCAAACCCATGACATTATCAACTACAGTCTCAGCGCCTGGTCCAAGTCTCGCTCCATTCTGACTCCCCAGGCGGGCCAGCCGGTAGTTGAGGCAGAGCTACTGCCCATCCGCCGTAACCTCCTGGTTGACAACGTTGGAGATGACGATCTGGAGCCGAAGCAGTGTTTCCTCGTCCTGCAGCCCCTGAGAATCTCGCCGGTAAGTGGTAACAGATAGACCTTGGGAAACTCATCGCTAATATGATGCAGATACCGGTGGACGTGGTAGCTATGGCATACACCTTCCCGGCGATCATTCACCGCATCGACTCGAATCTTGTTGCCCTGGATGCCTGCAAATTGCTTGGTCTGAACATCCGTCCAGACCTTGCGCTGGAGGCCTTCACCAAGGATAGCGACAATACTGAAGAGCATGATGCCGAGCAGCTCAACTTCCAGAGCGGCATGGGCAACAACTACGAGCGGCTCGAATTTCTCGGTGACTGCTTCCTTAAGATGGCAACCACAATCTCCATCTTCACGCTCAATCCCGACAAGGCCGAGTTTGAGTACCACGTCGAGCGCATGTTGTTGATATGTAACCGCAACCTTTTCAACAACGCCCTCGAGGTCAAGCTCGAGGAATACGTCCGGTCCATGGCGTTCGACCGACGGAGCTGGTACCCCCAGGGTCTCACGCTCAAAAAAGGCAAGCGCAATGATCCCACGCGTAAGCACGTCCTCGCCGACAAGACCATCGCTGATGTCTGCGAGGCCCTCATCGGCGCGGCTTACCTCACGGCGCAGGAGCAAGACCCCACCAACTTTGACCTCGCCATCCAGGCCGTCAGCATCATGGTCAGGGACAAACACCACGCCATGAAATCCTACCAGGACTACTACGCCGCCTACACCAAGCCGGACTGGCAGACGGCGCCGTGCAACGGCGTCCAGCTCGACATGGCCGCGCGCTTCCACGAGCGCATGGGCTACGCCTTCACGTACCCGCGCCTGCTCCGCTCCGCCTTCCAGCACCCAACCTACCCGTCCGTGTACGAGAAGCTGCCCTCGTACCAGCGCCTCGAGTTCCTCGGCGACGCCCTCCTCGACATGGCCTGCGTCGAGTTTCTGTTCCGCAAGTTTCCCGGCGCCGACCCGCAGTGGCTGACGGAGCACAAGATGGCCATGGTCTCGAACCAGTTCTTCGGCTGCCTGGCCGTGTATCTGAGCTTCCACAAGGCCATCGCTTACTGCTCGCCGGCGATCCAGAAGGAGGTGGCCGAGTACGTCGCCGAAATCGAGGACGCGCTGGAGCGCGCCAGACAGGAGGCTGTGGCGCGCGGCGGGACCGAGGACGAGTTCTGCAGGGACTTTTGGGTGCAGTGCAGCCGCCCGCCCAAGTGCCTGCCCGACGTGGTCGAGGCGTACGTCGGCGCCGTGTTTGTGGACAGCGAGTATGACTTTGGCCAGGTCAGGGACTTCTTTGCGCGCCACGTCAGGCCCTTCTTCGAGGATATGCGGCTGTATGACGCCTTTGCCAACAAGCACCCTGTTACGGAGCTGGCGGGCGTTATGCAGAACCGGTTCAGGTGCGGCGAGTGGCGACTGCTGGTCAAAGAGTTGCCTCTGCCCGCTGCGGAGGAGGGCGGAGATGGTGGTGAGATTGGCGGGGAAGTGGCGGCCAGGATGATGGTGAACGCGCCGACGCAGGTGGTGTGCGCCGTGCGGGTGCATGCGCTGACGCTTGCGCATGCCGTGGCAGCGAGCAGTCGGCACGGCAAGATTGCGGCGACCAGGAAGGCGCTGAAGGTGCTCGAGGGGATGGAGGTGGACGAGTTTAAGCGGGCCTATGGGTGTGCTTGTATGCTGAGGGAGGGGGAGGGGGCGGATGGGGACCATGGCTCGGCGATCTAGGGAGAAGGAGGACGGATGTGGCGGGCATTCTGGGCTTTTGACTTGCGTATCTCGGCGGCGTTAACCAAGTATCTACTCGAGCACACGCATAATGCGATCTTATTGGCGAGACACAGCAAGACCAAGTTGCCATATCTCGTCTGTGCGGATTCATTCTGAGTGGTTGAAATTACAGATTTGCTGCGGGTGTTGTTATCCTCTAGTAACTGAGCGGTTGGTTCTCCGAACAATTGCAGTACACTATCGGTGAAGCTGCGGCGTTGATGAGCCCGGTCGACATCTCGTGTAGCAAGAGATTGAAACATATCCAACCGAATACCGTACGGAAGTGAACCTGCAAACACATCAATCTGTCAATAGGGTTACCTTAGTTGAGAGGATGATTTATACATACATTTTTTTGGGCTGCACTAACAGCTTGGATGGGGCGATACCTTACTTGAGAGCATCCTGTTTGGTCAAGGGGTGCGCTGCTGCTTCCCAGACTCGGGCCTAAGCTAACCTAGGGTCCTTAGATACCATTAACTTACATCAACCGAGGTGATTCACGTCGACTCCCGGAGGAGCAGCAGTAGGTAGGTACTTTTAAAAGCCCAGCCTCCTCAACGCCTGGCTGCCGGACGGAGGCCGGACCCGTAAACCTCCCAGTGTCTGAATTGGTCATGGATTGCAAGCGTCGGCCTGAACTTCCGGGCCACTTTCGTTACTCTTGCCATTGGAGGACCCATTGAACTGGGATGAGTTCTCAATTGATGAGGGAAGGCCTAGAAAAACCCCCACCCCTTGTTTAGTCCTCCGCCAGCTCTTTATCCTTTCGAAATGCCAACACCGCGCGTTGTCAGAGGCGGGAAGGAAGTGAGGCGGGTATGTGTGAGCCCATATGCGACGGCACATGCATTTGGTTGCAGGCAGACGGCTGGTAAAGATGCTGTTGTGCTTGCGATGCGGAGTGTAGACTGGAACCCGTGAGTGTCCAACATGGCCAAGATGCCAGTCAATGGTAAATCATGGTTGAGTTGGGATTGCGCAATGCCCAGGGCGCCTATGCAAGCGTAACAAACGCCAACCCTCGTTCCGAGACACGAGAGAGCGAAGTTGATATCAAACGGGCAGCGCGGGAGGAAGAGACTGAGACTTGCCGTCACTTGTGGTGTATGAGACGGGAGACAGCAGATTCATCCGAGACTCGTGAAATCCGATCATCACTGACAGCCTAAGCAACAGCGACCAGCAATTACTCGCGCGTAAACCATTCGTCAAATCAAGAATGTCGCACCTTCCTGGTAGGGAAGTTTCCCACAAGACGCTCGGCAGTGAGATATTGCGATGAGACGGGAGCGATCTTGCCCTGAGTCTTCACCTGCCGTCCACTGCACAGGAAGGACGTCTCAGCCTCGCGGGCTGTTTGAGGTCGGCGAGTTTCCTGGATAGGTATTGGAGGTCCTCCAAATCGTTGTTGCCCGATTCCAGGATCGGGTTGCAAACGCAGTGTGATCCGACCAGATGATATTGCTACCGGCATTCGGCTCGCTGATCGCGATAGGTACCTGCCCTTTAGTAGGTAGTACTCAGCTCAGCTTTCAAGGCATGGTCCCTATGTTTCCGCTGTTCAAGTTGTGCAAGGCACAAAATGCATCGCGGGTTCCAGATGGTGGTTCCAGATTGTTCTTGTCTCACAGCTCCGTCAGCTCGTTCCGAAGTCTTGTACGTCTACAGAATGCCAAGAAATCCAACCAAAGAGACAGTCTCGATTGCGACCATACAACCGCAGAGACCATCCCTCATCAGAGGTCCTGCACCCCAGAGAATCTTCTCCCTCGCAACGCAACCCTGCCAGATCGCCAGCAAGAAGGTCCCGCGATCGACGTCCAGGGACCCGGAGACACTAAAATGGAGGTGGGGCACTCCCCTGCCCCTGAGATGCGCCATCTCCTGCCAAGCAAGCCTCTGATTCTTCAGACCCGCACTCCGATCGGGAAAATCACCGTCTTGGCGTCTGAAGAAGCAAGGTATGCCATGTGGACATGCGAGATACAAACAAGGCCTGACCGTTGCGGAAAAAGCAAGTTGAAAAATCAATCGTCACTCCTCAGCCAAACAGACGATGCGGATCGATTTGATCTGTGCTGCATGATTCATGCTCACGAAAGTCAACAAGCGCATCACCGGGCCTATTTCGGGGCTGGCAGTTGCCAACGGAGTGACGGGGTGCGTTGGCTGTGCAATGTCTCACCCCAACCTGTCCGAGTACAACCGCTCGCAACTCTCTTGTTGCAGAGGTGTTGTCAAGCTGCATCCGAGCACTGGCAGCAAGCAGCAGCAAAGTTTGGGGTACGGGTACGGAGTAGCCCCGAAACACGTTCGGGCCTGCTCAATGCGACTCGACCCCTCTCCCCTGCAGGTCAGAAACGCAGACGCACAGACAGCCTTCTGCTTCTCTGGTCTTCTCCGACCACGAGGCCACTCCAGTCTTGACGTGTGTTGCGACGCTAGAATCGTTCGAAAACGCCGGTGCTGCAGCTTCCCGGGCAAACGGCCCCGTCAGCCTGGCCACGCCTTGACCTTGTCGACCAGCCACCAATGCACCTAGCCCTTTCTATGTCCTCAGTTCGCACGCCTTTCGTGTCCCGTCTCCCAATAGGAGATGCGTCTCCTACGGAGTGATGCTGGCATTGGCCGACCTGCAGCTGGGCGCAGATGCACATGTGTGAGAAGCTCGTGAAGAGGACAAGGCATGCAGACGCTGTTCTCGATCCGAGGAAATAACCCGCCCACACGAATTCAGGAGTTCGTCCGCTGCTAACTGACTTCCGTTGGTTCCAGCTGCCTGCTCATTGGGTACGAAGACCCGGGACCACCCTCCGTCCAACACTGGCACCTTCGTGCATGTTCCCGGCTTCGGGGCCACTATGTGGTACTTGTACTTGTACAGGGCACGCACCCAGAGATCCGGACAGGGGAGTTGACGCCTCCCCGTTCCGGGGTCAGGGGTCTCCAGGCTATCCCACCCCAGACTTCAGCCCAGATGCAGTGATTGCAGTCAGATGAATGCCGAGCGTCGATGTGTCAGTAATACTTCTTATACCTTCAGCTAGCGAGACCCTTGCCTACCAGCTATACTACGCTCTGCCCCGCTTCTCCTCTCCCTTTTCCTTCCCACCGTCCCCTCCGGACAATCCTCCCTTCTCATCCACCGCTTACAGCCTGTTGTTGCTGAGTCCTATCTCCCGTCTGCAGTGGCTCATCACACCCAGTAGTCCTTGAACGACACGACGTGCCGAACCTAGTGACCTCATACACAGCGTCAAAGCTGAGACAAGTCACCGAGTTGGCCTCGGATACCGGCTGATGGCTGTCTGACCACCAGTACAATGGGCTTCTTCAGCTTTCTTTCCAGGAAATCCAGGAGAGACAAGGCCCATACCCGCGTGGGCCCCAAATCATATTCTTCTACTGCATCTGGCCTCCATCATGATCAAGGTGAGAGCTCATACACCACGACATTAAGGACTTAACCTGCTTATACTGCGTCATGTAGATGGATGCTCCTTGGATGGCACTGATCCGCCAGTGGCCGACTCTGCTACCTCGCGACCTCCAGCAAACTTCATTCACTCTCAGCCCTGCTTGGATAACTCCTCCGATGATGAAGTTCCGGCGCCCGCCCCGAGCATACCCAGGTTTCGAGAAGGGAGTCTGGAGAGGCCAAGCACAGCCCCAAATGTCGGTCCATCGAGCATTCTGCTGCCAAGCAGCGGCCTCCCGTTGAAGCCGGGTGGCCAGAGAAGACCGCCTCCGCTCTCGTTCCGCACGACGCGGCTCGACACTGGTGCCACTCAGTCTCGACCAGGCTCCCGCGGCTCCATCGCCTCAATCAGCAGCGTACTGCGCAGGACTCCAGGGCGCACCCATGCCATTTCTCTGCAGAGCGACGGTAACAGAGCCTTTAAAGACATCCTCGACGCCCAGTCGGAAATCAAGCCGGCCGACTTCAGGGAGAGGGTCAAGGCTGCCGGTGTCAGAGACTATGGCGAGGATGTTGCTGAACGGAACATGGCGGAGAGTGTGATAGGCCTGGGATCAAATCAGGTCCGGGCATTCTACGCCGAGTCAAAAGGGGTTGAGTCAAGTAATCAGTCTCTGTCAAACCGGCCACCGCTGTCCCCACACAAGGCAGGCGTTCGCCGATTGTCGCTTCGATCAAACCAGTCCCTCTCGACAAGACGCGTATCCTCGCAGAGCCCTTTGCTTTACAGCCCGAAAGCTCTTCGGTCTTCATACTCGGGGCGTCGCCGATCGGTCATCACTTACATGCCGCCGGGCTCTGGAGATTGGGGCTTTCTGGCCCGCTCGAGCCCTGATCGGTTCGGGGACCTCCCGCCAGGGAACCCAGTCAGAGAAATTGGGAGGCTGGAATCTGGGTTCTCGACGCTTAGGCTGAACTCGCACACCTTGCCTCATCTTCCAGAGGCAGCACCGGCCCCCATCATCCGCACCCACAGGTTTCCGCGAGACTCGGTCGAGCTCGCAAAGAAGAGAGCAGAGGAGTCCGTGGGAGATGATGTGGTCAAGCACGACTCCCCCGCAACCGACTTTGCGCTCTGGTCGGCCAGCCGCTCACGCCGCTCGTCAACCCTGGGTTCCGCTACCTCAAACACCGGCAAGCATCGCAATTTTCATTCCTTGCGCTCGTCTGTCTCAACGTCTGTTCTCAGCCAGGACTCTACTCATGCTACGCGTTTGTTTCATCCGCTTCGACCTGCTACTCGTGATCAACATCAGAAAACCCCTGAGAGACCCGGAAGACAGGGACTCATGGGCGCCATGGGTAATGCTGGTGCCTCTACTTCAATGCCATCTCGTCAGTAGTTCCTCCTTCCCGTCACAACAATCCTTGAGTGGTTTATGCTGACCTTTCACTCTAGTTCTTAAACTTCACAAGGATGAAGGACAAATCCATCGTCCGTCGTCACGGAGTGTTTCCCTAGTCCAAACCAAACAAGCAAGCAGCACTGCCGACGTCACCCTACCGGACGACGACATCTTAGACTACCCTCCGCCGATCCGAACCCGCAGCATGCGCGGCTGGTCCGCCTCCTCCGGGACGCCCACCGTGTCGGAGAGCACCATCGCCGCCAGCATCACAACCAGTAACCTGAATCGCCCGCACTCCCTCCACACGGCCGATACCTCGGTCGACCTGAGCGTCGGCGCCGGATCCCCCGTTCTCAAACATGCCAAATCCACAACGCACGAGTCAGACCCCGGCTCCGATGCGGATGGCGGCAATCCTCACGCCGAGAACACCATGCTCCGCTCAGATACTGCCTGCGGCGACGCGTGCAATGTGGACGACTACCTGTCCGCCTCTTCCACGACCGCGGATGACTCCGACCCTCCCCATCACCCGGTCCATGACGACAAACACAACAGCAACACCATCAACCTTGAGAAATCCTTCGCCGCAGACACATTCAACATAGACGACTATCTCTCGTCCGACGCCGAGTCCCTGACGGCGGCAACAACACGCAGCAGCAGCCGGCGGCCGACGGCCGAGGGCGAGGAAGAGTTGCTGTTCAACGAGGGTGGGTATGGCGCGGCGGGGATGCAGTTGCCGGGCTTGCCGGAGCTGCTTAGGAGCGATGTGGACGGGGAGGGGACTCGTAACGGATCTGGGACGAGGAGGGGGATCAGAGCGGCGACGAGGACGAGCTTGGGTGCTGCTCCCGCTCCGGGACAAACGGCTTTGTTGGATGTGTCGTGGGAGGGCTCCCGTTCTTATTCCGGGATGGGTTTGGGAATAATGAGCTATGTAAGCGGTGGAAGGGGGAGGGGTGCTAGTGGGGTTGCAACGAAGGGCATGAAGAAGAGGACGGAAGGGTATCGGCGGGGAGAGAGGCGGGTGAAGAGGTTGGCGTTGAATACCGGTTTGGATGATGAAGATGATGAGTCTGCATGGGATGAGGGTGTGACTGGGAGCGAAAGCCGTGGCGGGGCGATAGATCTAGATGGGGAAGTGAGCGATGGCGGGTATGAGGCGGATTATGTTGAGGATGAGTTTGATGGGATGTTTCGCCGTCGGCACCATGGTAAGAAGCGCATGAGGAGGCTGTCTGCCCCCCGCAGGCACGAGGAGACGGGCCGGGAACAGCAACACCAGGGCCTGGGAAACCACGGGGAGGCGCAGCGGCACCAGGGAATCGTGGAGGAGAAGACGCCCGAGGATAAGAACGCCGCCGCTGTCAAGCTGAGAAAGCAGATCAAGACGGCGAGGAGACTGGCTGGTCAGCCTTCCGCGGCCGTGCTGCGGCGGAGGGAGCAGAGGGTGTCGGTGCCGGTTCTGCGGATTGACGAGGCACTGTAGGGAACATGCGCAACAAGACGGTCTCTAACGGGTTCAAGGATCTTCTTTGTATTGGAAGCTAGAAGAGGACATAGCGGAAGACGGAGTCAGTTATTCCATGGCGCCTGAAGGATACAGGGTGGTCTGGCTGGGAAATCTGGCTAAACGGCGGAAGGGGGTTTGGATGACGGCCATGGCGGGGGACGGATACACGGACTTGATACCCGGTGATATGGCTACCTTGTGTAGATGGCTTGGATAAGGGGGCCGGAACAAGTATCGAGCGGTCCGACACTGTGCATTACGCGGCTTAATGAGATTTGGTTGGCTTCTCCTATCTTGAAAACTCCCGGAATCGCGCTGAAGCTATCTGTTCCAGCGATAGCCTTCTAATCGGTGCCCTTCTGCAAAGTGTGGCATTACTCACATTGCCTGAACACGTTCCAGAGTGCCACCACCATGTTCCCATTATCGCCACACTCAATCCAAGCTCCCTGCCAGCGCAACGCAGCTGAACCTCAAATCCGCCGCCTCCCTCTCCAGGAACTTGAGCGGCCCCAGTGCCAACGCCTTCTCGCTCAGCACATCTTCAGCCGCGTCCAAATCCCCCCTCCTCAGTGGCCCTTTCCGCCGCCCATCCAACTCCCACAACCCGCCATCCGCCCCTTTCACAAAACACACATAGTGCAAATCCACATCATCCCTTGCATCCGGCGCCGTCGTATCCCCCTGTTCCGCCACCCCCCTATGCGCCGTGGCAAGCGCCTCGTCCCGCTCTAGCAACCGTGCCCTTTCGGCCGGCGCCAACGGCAGCGCCTCGCGCATAAGCCTGTCCAGCTCGCTCCCCTCCTGCACGAAACCCCTCGCCTCCCCGTTGCTCGCCGCGTGCAGCAGCCCAATCAGCCCGCACGCGTTGCGGATCGTCTGGCGGTACCACACGACGGGCTCGGCCTCGCCCTTGCCGGCGTACTCGGGCTGCAGCGCATCCTCGGCCAGGCGGTGCGACTCGTAGGCGGCGCTGACAGGGAAGACGAGGAGGAGCGCCAAAGCCGGACGCGGGATGAAGGCGAGGAGGGCAGAGTCGGTGAGCGAGTAGACGTCGTGGATGGAGAGCGCTGGTGAGAGGCCTAGTTGGTGCAGGAGGGAGGTCAGGAGCTCCGGGTTGGCTTCGAGCGGGATGAAGGCCGGAGCTGTGGTCGGGGGATCGGCGGTGGACATTTTGGGTGGTAATCTTGGAGGTCGGTTTCTATTTGCTGTTGTATTGGCTGTTCCGAGTGTGCTGGAGTGATAGGTTTTGCGGTTTGTTGACCACACTCCCGTCTTTGATCAGGTAGATCGCTGCGAGTAATCGGAAGGGGGCTGTTGGAGGAAGCTGTCGGGGTAAACGCGGGGCAGTTGCGTCGTCCAACCGAACTCGGGTCTGATGGTATCAGATTGGGGCGAATAAAGATAGGCGCAGCTTTTTCTATGGCGTTCACAAAGATGCGCCCTTCGATTTTCCTGACTCGACTTTGTGTTGATGCGCAAAGTGATAAAGAAGAGCTGAGGCAATGGGATATTGGAAGTCACCGTGGGGCAATGGGGTAAAGCCGAGGTTTCCCGGCGCTTTTGTTGGGTAGCTATGTATGTCGGATAGCGGTTCATGACCCGTCTTGTTTCTGTTTCATTTGACTGAAACAAAAACCCACGTACGCTAACCTCCACGATTTCTCAAATTCGACAACCTGCAAAAGACATATTGCCGGGGTGTTCGTGTTTTCAACATGGTGAAGTCCCCCCAAGCTGGTTATTCCAAGGCCAGCAACGGGCATGCTTGTTGGTTGCAATCGTCCGAATGAATCTTCATGCACCTTGAACGTTTCAGCAAACCAGGCTCGGTTTGGAAGCCGCGCCTATTGTGGAGGGCGGGCCTAATGGTGATTGGGTGGGAGTAGGCGACGTTGGCAGCAATGGACCCCGGAATCCAACCTCCCCTGACAGGAGCGGGCGAACGCTTTTGAGCAGCGCTTCTGAGCAGCGCTTCCGGGTGTACAGGGGCATGAGATCAGCCAGTCCTCTGCGTCTCCCACATACGGTACGGAGAAGTCCGCCCTCTACGGATACAGCATCATGTACCGCGGCGGCACAGCTGCCCAGCCGAAATGCACCTACAGGCCGGGGCCCGGGGGCCGGGCATCCCCTCCTAGGGTATTTCTCCTGTCTGTCCACCTCCATCTCACGTTATCTCTTGGAGAACACCTCAGCAGTCACCGAGGCCGCTCCAACATCGAGCCCGAAACATGGCACGGCCTGCCGGGGCTCCTGGGCACGGTGGCACCAGCATGTACTACAACGACGGCCTCATCCCCATAGATCGACAAGAGGACGCGATTTACAACGACAAGAACCCCCGGATAGGTACATTTTAGAACCAAAGGTGGTTCTCGGGACGCCAGAAAAAGAGATAGTTCTGCCGCCTCCTCATCCCATCAGGACACGGTCCAGCCCTTGGCCGCGACAATATGCGGGCTTCGCCGCAAAACATTTTACAGTATCCTCGTGGCAGCCTTGCTGCTCATCGGCCTCATTGCCGGGTTAACAGGAGGCCTCACGTGTCGCCAAAGTAGCGGCAGCACGGATGGCCCCGAAGTTGTTCCCTCAGAACCCGACTCAAGTTCACCGACTACGTCAACTCCGTCAGCTACCTCAATCGCGCCAACCAGTTCTTCTACGCCACACCTGTCTCCAATACTTGGTAACCCGCAGCTCGCGGCAGCACGATCCGCAAACAACACAGAAACGTCGAGCTGCGTTGCCTATCAAGACCGTACCGGCTCCCTCATGCTCGCGGCCTGGAACAGCCGGGACACGATGTGGACGTCGGTCAACATCTCAGACCGGATGCTGAAAGCCTCATTTTCCGTGCGGCCCAAGCTAGGAACCCCCTTAGCGTGCATTACTGGCGTCTACACCGGTATGTTACCCCCCAAGGGAAGGAAGGCAGGGTTCACTGTGTCTGACGTTGGTCGCATAGAGGTCCATGTCCTCTTTATCGACGAAAACAATGTCGTCCGCGAGGTCTATACCTAGGATGACGGATGCTACCAGTCCTGGAGCTGGTCATCGCTCTATGAAGACACGAGCATCACGGCCGTGGCGCAGTCCGGCCTGGCGACCCACTGGATGCATTGCAGCCCAAGGTGCCCAAGTAGTGAAGATGGCCCGGGCGGGGTGTGTATCTTTTTTCGAAAACAAGTCAGGTAGTTTCGTCACCTACCTCGGCGGGGCCCCATGGAAACGACCGACCAACTTCTCGGCTACGGGCCGGGCCGGGTCGGGACTGGCAGCCACGCCGTATCTTCGTTCCGATGCCAGCCATATGATGTTCTTCTTTGACACGGGAGAGAAGCTTGGTATGATGACCAGGAAGGACAATGAAACGGACTGGGCTTTGGATGGTGAGTGGTTTTACTACTATATATCTTCCCGAGTCTGCTAACCGCCGTTTGCCCCATAGCGGCCTTTACTCACGTCAGGGCTATAGTAACGAAATTGACCCCTCCCGTTCGTGAACTGGAGTGTGCATTTCAGGGCTTCTCGTCATGTCTCCGGGGAATACGGGATGACAAGAATAATACTTGTGTTTTTTCGAGGCATGTTTCGTAGGGCAGAAGGGATGCAAGGGGGATGGTCATTGAGATGCGCTTCGACCCCTCAGCCCTGAATCCCATTCTCCTCCCTCCACATCTGCCTCTCCGTATGCGCAACCCCCGGTCCCTGATAGATGCTCCCATAATAACCACTACCCCAATTCTTGCCCTCCCCCTCCTGCTCTGCCCTCTTGCGGTACCACTTGCCATAAACAAGCAGGTAGTAGAGCCTGAAGCTCAGCAACGAGAAACGGTTTCGCTCCAGGTCTTCCGGATACGCGGCTCCCAGGTCAACGGCAGCAGCAATGCCGCTGATGACGGCAACTTCGTGCGCATTGACGAGTGTCCATGCGGCTGCAAAACGGGTGTGTTTCCGGCCTTGTAGCAGCCACATCCAAGGCACAACGAAGAGGTAATGCGTGTACGAGTGGCAGAGCTGATGCCACCAGTCCTTGCGTATGATTTTGCTCTCGTCAATCTCGTTGTCGGTCCACAGATGGCCATCGCGATGCTTATTCAAGTAAATGGTTTGGAAAACGTGCTTCTCGAACGGGACGTCGGGCGTGAATTGGCTCTGGTAGTTTGTGCAGTCGAAGCACATCTCCAGCTTGGAGCGATCCTCGGAGTACATCTTGATCATGTACATGGGCTTGAAGGACTTCTCGGCCATCTTCAGCCGGGTGGTTTGGTCGACGCCGGAGAGCGCCTCGACAGCGCGCTCGCTGTTGTAGAAGTTCTCGTAGTGCTTTTTCATATACGCCGAGTCGCAGTGCGTAATGGTGAGGTCGTCGGAGAACTTGGCGGAGCCGAGGACGCGCTTCTCCCGGAAGGACGCGGTTTTGGAGAGAATGCGTTTCGCGGAGTCGGCGCTGAGGAGGTCAGTACGGTTATATAGTACCTATGTATGGTTGTGTACTTACAGAATGCATAGGACGATCTCGTCGTAGTGCTCTTCGACCTCTCTCGCGCTGCCGTCCGTACCGTCTTGCGTGGTCGAAGGCACCCACTGACTGACACGGTTGTGCGCATCCGGTTCAGGTGTGCGCTTGATCAACTTCACGACAACGCCGTTCTTATCCCTCTTCACCACTTCGGTAAGCTCAGTCGACAAGTGAACCGTGACCCCCTTAGTCTCCAAATTCTTCCTCCAATCCGAGTAAAAACGGGCAAAGTTGGGGAAAACAACCATAGGAGGCTGATTGCTCGCGACGCTGAGCTTGTCGGGAGGATACCACATCCCGTACGTGGGACTCGTGCAGAGTCTCTCCAGGATGATACTGGGGACTTCAGGGGCGTAGTTTCCGGTTCCGAGGAACAGCGCGACCATGGGTAAGACAATGCAGTTGGAGAACTCTTCGGAGAAGAAGAATATCTTCATCAAGTACTTGATCGGAATGAGTGCGAAGAAGATTTCGAACCAGCGGACGAGGGTGAGCACTCGCTTGAAGCGCCGGATTTCCGACTGGTGTCGGGCAAGGAGTTCGGTCGGGAAGATGTTCGTCCAAAAAGTATCTTCTTTGCCGAAAGAGACCTAAAAAATGAGCAATGCTCCCATCGACACTTGACGAGCGAACTCGCCTGGAGCTTGACGGGATCAGCGCGGTGTCCCTGGCGAGCGAACATGGTCATGGTATGGTGAAAGATGTAGCTGCCGCCTTGCACGCCCTGGTTCAACCAGCCGGCTCCATAATGCTCTTTGTCAATGGGGATTGAGAAAGCCTGGCCGCCGCAATAGTCCACCGCATCGATCAGAGTAACATCGAACTTGCCAGGATGGTTGGAGAGATGGTGGGCGCATGACATGCCTACGCAATGTATAAATACATATATCAAGCGGATGTTAGAAGATACGAACCAGCCGCCCCGGCACCGACGATGAGCACCCGCTTTTTTTCAGAGTTCAATCTATTGGTCGCCGTCTCCGCCGGTTTGGAGAGAAGCGGATCGGACTCATGTGCGTTCGACATGGCGAGCAACCGAGTTTGGAATTAAGGGAAGGAATTGAGAGGACGTGTAGAAAGAGCATTTCCGATAACTATGGCCTGGATGGGACGTTTGGTTTTGCTCGATGGTGCTATTGCAGGTTGTCGAACGAATCTAATGCGTCATGACGAGACAAAGATGGCTGGCACATGCGCCACCGAGGATAGGGGATCCTGACTAAGGATAGCCCATTTGGCGGCTAGTTGGGCGGGTGATTTCGAAGCCCGGACAAAGTAGTAGCGCTAGACGCCTTGTTCTTCATGCTTAGTTCAAAGCTGATGCGAGGCGCGGATTGGAAGATTGTCTACGGAGTATCTATAGTAAGTCTAGGGTACGGATGTACTCGTCGGGCCTCCGAAAACACCAACCGGACGTTGAGATGAACAACGGCCATTGAACTGCATGATTTTGGGACCCCTGATCTCGCAGTTAACCCTACCCCACGTTTACGTCACATGCTCGCCAAGCTAGTTAATCCAATCAAATCCGTTGGACCAAAAGTTCCACTACAAGTACCGCAGTGCACAGCGGTAGTGTGTTAAGAGTTGTATTATGGGAGCGAAGGGGCGCCAAACGAACCAAAAGCCGTTCTAACTACTGTAACTTCTCCGGCTAGGAACCTAGGAGTGTTGGTGGTTTTGAAGCCCCAACAAGCATAATTCAACTCTAGATTGTTTACTACCACAGAATTATTCTAGTAGGTACAACAAAACTTAGAAAGGCTAGGCGCAAAAACTCGTTAAAATGGTGAAGTTACACTAACAACTTTCAACAGTTTTGCATAGCTGCTGCTTGACCAACATCTGTTAGCATTGCACACTCACTTATATTGCACACTCACTTATATTGCACACTCACTTATGTTGCACACTCACTTATATTGCACATTCACTTATATTGCACACTCGCTTATAAAGCATATTATCTTCCTCTTACTTACTATCTTCATTTTTCTCTTGTTTTGATCCCCCTTGCTCTAACTTCTCTTCTTCTTTATCTTGATTTTATTTCATTCTCTCTATCTTCATTTTCTCTTTTTCTATTCGCTGTAATGGGCACTAACTCGTATATACAAGATCTGTCAGGACAAGCAGCAGGACAGGTGTGTTGCGGGGCACAGTGCTGTGTCGTTATCCACATATAACTCACAGGATTGCATGGTCGGAGCGACTTACGATTCGACATCCGTTTTAAAGGAGATGCGACAGAGCTGAGTGGGTTGGTTGTGCAGGTATCGTCACATAACTATATCATCTAATTATCATCGAAACAAAATCTGTAACTATTCATATAACACTCAAAAAGAGAGCATGTACCGCAACAATCCCTAACCCCATCTAACAATCTTGTACTCTTATCGCATAAAAGGAGAGATGTATGCCTCTCACCCTACATAGTACCAAGCTATACCCCCTGAGGATACGCCTTCCTCCAATGGATCGAACTTGCAAGCTTAGTTACTTCTTCTGCTATTTCTTGTGACTGCCAACCGGTAGACCCTTGCTTGGACTAGCGCTCGAAGTACCAGGTGGCTTGCTTGGATTAGATCCCATTGCAGGCCCAGACCGCCAGCTGGAGAGCTCGGACGAAACGGGGCCGGACTGTCACCCGCAGGGCTAGTGGCAGTCTTTGGCTTGCCCGGAACGCCCGTCGCGGAGCCCCGACGAGCTGACGCCGGACGGTTGGCGCGGCTATTGCCAGCGCTACTGCCAGAACGTGAACCTTTGGAGTGAGAGGAGGCAGCCTAGAAGGGATTAGAGAGATAACATAGCAGACGTGGGCACGATGACTCTTTTCCACTCTTGCCTGTTTGAGACCATTGTAAGCTGCGTGAGGCCTTGTTTAATGGATGATTGGAGCTCTGCGGCGGTAGCATGGCTATTTTTCAGCGACCACTGATTAACAGCGGTTTCCAGGCTGGCGAGAGAGAAGCGGATACGAGAGCTAGCGCGAAAAGCCGCCCATTTTTGCGCCTTCTCAGCCGTATCAACTCCAGGAGGGCGACGGAACTCGACGTTCCCGCATTCGCCGTTGATGGGTATGAAGTTCAATGACGTGCTGCGGTGTTCGCCTAGGACATGGGATATGTCGGCGTTCTTTCTGATTGAATCGATATAATCGAACAAACCCTTCCACTTCTTTGACTTCTTTTCAACTTGTCGAAGAGGGACACACCAATCTCTCCTCGGTGCCGGATAGCTTCGGAATGAGCTTGGCCTTGGCCGGATCCGAGTTGGTGGTCTTGCGGAAGTTGGGCCTAGCCAGATCGTCTGCTTGCGCACCCCCCGGCATGATCTTCGCAATGGCGTCGTCGAACACAGCGGTGGCTTTTGCAAGGGAGCGAACGGTCTCGGGGTGCCATTCTCCGAGGGGCTTTGTATGAATATGCATCGAGCAGGCCTGGTTCAAATGGAAATTGAAGGCGCCACGTAGCGCTCCGAAGATGAAGCTCAAATCACTGTGCCACATCCACTCCATGGTGTACATGATGGGAGAGACCAGTTCCAACTTCCCTGCAATGCCCTTAGTTAGAGGATATATGTTGCAACAATGCCGATGTTGATAGTTACTCACAGTACCCTGCAGCGAGGGATTCGACGAGACTAGAGTCGCCCTTGACCTGCCATACGCCATACTGCCCATCATCCTCTTCTTTCACAACTGCCTGAGGACTACTTAGGGAAATGATGTCAGCGACAATCTTGAGCATTGCCACCTGTTTCTGTTCTTATTTCTGTCGATTGTGGGTTTAGGATACCCATGCGCTGCCAGCCCTTTGCGGAGCTCTGGTTTCTTATTGGGCTTGAGATAAAATTCTATCCCCATCCCAAAGCTGTGTACAATATGTATGTAGGTTGTCATAGTAGCACAGGGTAGGGGAAAGAAAGTAAAAGAGGAAGAGGAAGAGGAAGAGGAAGAGGAAGAGGAAGAGGAAGAGGAAGAGGAAGAGGAAGAGGAAGAGGAAGAGGAAGAGGAAGAGGAAGAGGAAGA